GTATATTGCGGTTCTTCCCTGTCCTGGAATAATTCATCTCACCATTTGAAAGCGGCTAAATTACTTTATTTTCTATATCTAGCTGCTGCTTTTAGATGTTTGAGAGAATAAAAGTCTCAACCCTTCCTTGTTGCTTAATATCAAAGGGAAAGGAGTTGTTTTCTAGCTAGCCCACATTTTGGTTCTATTAAACACAAAGGTTTAGATTACATACAAAAAATAAAGACCTTATATAAAATAGTCACAAAAACATTCTCTTAAAAAATAAAAAATACAAATACAAACTTTAATATTATCAAAGCATATTAATGTGTTTTCATCTAATGATCTTTGAAGCTTGCCTTGAGATACATCCAATTGTAAAAATTTTATTTCAAAATAAGTTGTTTGAGAGGCTAATTTCCATAATTCTACTACCAGCATCTTTTACACAGTAAAATTATTCATAGCATGCTGTATACATTTATCAGATTATATATTTTGCAGAATTTAGTCCATAGATGATTATCCAAAGTGGAACAGCATCCTATGATTTTCAAAGAGTACATGGGAAATAAATAATTAAGAGGATCTAGATAGACATTCAGTACAGTATCTAGTTTCCTTAGTCAAGAATTTTAAAGAATGTATATGGCACTGAATATTGTTGAGAAACACCCAGCCTGACAGGTAGGAGGGTCAAGTGCAGAACTAGTCTAGAATCACTGCGCAACTGTAAAAGGGCCAGAACCAGGACTGGCCTTCCCTGAATTCCTTGGAGCCTTATCTAATTTCAGTAATCAAGTAGTTTAGCTTAAACTCTGCATGTGTGGGTCTGGTTGTTCATACCTGACAATCATATTTTTAAAAAAATCAGTTCTTTTTGTCTTTTCTGATTTCAACTGTACATAAACAGTTGGGGAAATTTCAAATTTTTTTGCTAAAAACATTGTTGCCATTTGATCTTCAAATGATTGATGAGGGTTTCTATTGTACAGAAAGTTATTATCTATACATACAGAAATTAATACTGAGGAATATATGGAAATAGCAAAAATTAAGGCTTTTTTGTGCGTGACTTGGGATAGAAAGGCATTTTCTATTCTGATCTGTTTTTCTATTGCAGAAGAAGAGACCTGAACTTTACAACCAGGCATTAGGGTCAACAGCATCTTGAAAGTCATTCGACTTTATATTCTTCAAGGATGGATCAGAGCTGAATCTGCACCTTGTTTGGCCGTTAGACCTTAAGAAATAAAAATCATAATCTTGATAAATGTGTCCTTTTGTCTTATTACTACATAGAAGTATTAATGTAATACATCTAATACATCTTGAGAAATTTATTTGCAGCAATACTAAGTTTGTGATCAATGCCTTCCATTTGAAAGTTTATATATGGAAAAATAATTATTGTTTTCCTAAATTATTCAAATTTATACTGCAGATGTTGAATTATGATGCCTTAAAAATAATTTGAAATCTTATGAATGCTAAATGTTGAAACAGCGTTTTCAGTAGCATTCATGCCAGAATAAAGATGGCTTTCTTCAATGGAAAAAATTGCTTCCACTGGAGTGTGTGTGTGTGTGTGTATGTGCATATACATATCAAGATGGATCGACAACATCAAGTATTGCAGGCCCAATTGATAAAGCTCAGGACCGTCTTGGTAGGAAACATGAGGAAGAGGCCTTTATCCTGCAGTGGATAGGCAATGGCTAAACATTTTTGTCTCTTTCAATGGGGGATATAGAAAGAATGGAGAGTCAATTTTTTAACAAGATAAAAATTAATACAAACTGATGTAAGAAGGAAAAGAAAAGCTGAAAGTGTAAGAAAGGAAAAGTAAGAAGAAAAGTAGAACACAAAAGACGTAGCTTTCAATCTGCAGTAGTTGAGTATAAGTACAATTACTTCTCACTCCCTGGTTACAACACGGCTTTCTTTCTATAAACTATTCTCTCTCGAGAAATATTTTTTAAACGTCTAAAATGGTAGAATTTAGGAAAAATTTTGCTTTTGCATGTGTAGACTTCAGCATTTGTTCTTTATTTGTGTTGTGATTTTTATCTTGCATTACTAAGTAAGCATTTTTAAATAAGCAATTGTTGAATAATCCCAATAAATTCACATATATTAAAACCAAACATAAACCACATAAGTATGGTATGTGAGCCACCACTCATGTTTGACACAAATTATAGGGAAAGGAGAAGTCTCGCTTCAAGCGTTGGACATAGTTCCTAAAAGTACCATGAACTTTAAGAGCAATCTGTCAATTTCTAGACCAAATAAAGGTTAAAAGGTTTATTGCTCATCAAGAAGAAACTAGCATGCTTTGGTCTCATGATGCAAGAGGATAGGCTAAAGAAAATATACTGCTCAAAAAAATAAAGGGAACACAAGCAGAAGACATCTGAGATCTGAATGAATGAAACAGCCTTATTAAATACTTTGTTCTTTACATACAGTAGTTTATACACTGCTCAACTAAAGGGAACACAAAACTATGTAACGAACAAAGTATTTAACAAGGCTATTTCATTCATTCAGATCTCGGATGTCTTCTGCTTGTGTTCCCTTTATTTTTTTGAGCAGTGTATTTTGATGTGATTGAGAGAATGGAAGTCAGTAGGTATCAGTGGTAAATTGCTACCGGTTCTACCTGGATCGGCGAACCAGTGGTGGCGGCGGGAGGCTCTACCCACCTGTGCCATACGCTTCTGTGCATGTGCAGAAGCATCACATGAGCATTAGCAAACCGGTAGCGACAGGTTTTGCAACCCACTACTGGTAGGTATGTATGGATAAGGTCAAGCAAACTAATGGAATATCCTCAAAAGAGCTATGTGTTATTATTGCTAGATGTGTAAGGGGGGTGGGGGTAGTGCTTCAAGACTGCCAGCATTTGTCCAGGCAGTTCTCAGAAATAAATGACAGCTCAATTGAATCTAACTTGTTGCAATCAAAGGTTCCCAGTACTTTTCATCTGGCTAAATGATTGGATGCTAGAAAAACAGCAGAAGTAGCAACCAATATCTGAGAAAATAAAGACTGATGGTGATGTATTTTAGATAGGGTTCTCCTTAAGCCTGCTAAGAAGAAAAATTGACCTTTTTTTAGAAAGTATAAATTCTAGCTTTTAATTCCATTTCTGTCTTTATGCTTTTATATGAAGTAATTTTCTATTTCCGATAACATCCATAACCGTCCAAAACACTTCTCTCCCTTAAAAAAGCAGACACAAGTGTTAAGTGATTTATGAACTATGTGTTAGAATAATTTGGGCATTCCAAGAGCCAGGGTGGCACAAAAACTTTAAAAAGTAAAATCCAGACATATTGTGAGAAAAGAGATCCATTTATTCCCAAATCTTTTTGGACTACAGAGAAAAAATGGGATTCTAATTTTTATAGGGGGACTGGTCCTTGGTGTGAGCTTGTGGGGCCTGGGTTGCCGATGTGCTTTTTCTAGTATGTGACAGTCATCAGGTCAATTTTAATTGTCTAGATTCAATGGATCATGGGTTTTGGTTAATGGTTGAAAGATAACAGACAGTAAGAGAAATCAAGTTAATTTGGGAATATAGAATCTGGGATGATTATGATTAAAATAAAACATTTTCCTCATAAGATTCAATTTCAATTGCCCATCTATTCTTTCAATCCAATTCAACCATGTATATCACCGGTAAACGGGGGAGGTAGTAACAAAGCAAAATTCAGGTTGGATTCTGCAAACCTGCAGTCTGTCTGCCGCCCTCAACATTGGCCCTTAAATATCTCGCCTTCAGTGTTTCATCCAGAAAATAGGTCACGGGGCAAATTATAATACAAAGCAAGGCTTCACAGACCCACAAAGGCTAACAGATGGATAATTTGCAGTAAGTTACTTTGCAAACCACCCAGGCGGGTGAACAGATTTTAGGACTGACGTTTTGCCTAGGATTTTAAGGGTGGGTGCTACTGTATTTACCTCCTAATCTCCTCTATTCGCATCTAATTCCTTGGGCCGTGTGTTTTAACTGCACTTTTCATATTTCACCGTGCATTTTGTGGGAAGTGTTGGAAGATATAATTCACTCTTCTCCTAGAAAAAGGAAAAGAAACTCAAAAAATATTAAAAGAGCAGGAAAATTCCCCTAAAAGAAAATAAGCAGAAACTCAGGCAGAAGTTTCAGCCCCCCACCTTTGTCAATGGGCCATTAAGAAGCTGAAGCCACCCTATTTTCCACAACGAAGGAAGGACAAAATTACAGGGGCCTGCAACATCCAAACAGGTATGGGACACAGAAAAAAGCAAACACCCAAAAAGGAAAAGAAATCAAGCCAAAGTAATTAGAATTTTAAACACAGGAGAAAAGGAGATATTCACTAAAACACAGTAATAGCAAACTGATTAATTATAGGGAACGAACTACAAAGGGCTAGGAAAAACAGAGATTGGACTATAAAACAATTACTTATTTGCCAGATCCAGGACGGAACCACCCAATCAGAAAAAAGCAGGAATTAAACACCATAAAACAATCACACACACAAATCAAAGGATTCACATGCCAAATCAAAAGAATTTCAAAAGACTTTAAAGGGTCACATAGAAAATCAAAAGACGTTTTAGGATATAAAAAAGGGTTTTTCTTACAACTCAAACAGTCTAGCCTCCGAACGTTGTGCTTGTATTTGTTTCTTGCCTGCCTTCCTATAAACAATAAACTAATTCTGCTCTCAAGCAGCTGACCTCCAATCATTTCGAAGTAATCTCCCAGCAGGGAGTTTTGAATCCAAGAAGGGAAAGCTCTGCCTTCCAACAATCCTTAAAGGGGAAAGGCTTCTTTTTTTTCCCTTCCAACAGAAGGAAGCTTTCCACGCTCCTAAGCCTTGGAACTCTCGGAGACGGACATTTTGGCGCCTGCTGCTTTCAAATAAAACGAAGCTCGCCATTTTCATGGGACCACATGACGGAGGGGCGGGGAGGGGGTGAGGTTGAGACTCCAAGGAGGCAGAGGAGGGCCTGGCGTCTGCTCGGAACACGGCGTCACGTGATGTGGACCTCGGGCTGCCTGGAAGCTGCCTGAGCTTGCTCCGCTGTAAGAGGCGCGCGAAGCGAGCTGCTGGAGCCCCGGCTGCCTTCGGGCTGTTTCTGCCTTGGGAAGATATCCGGAGATCCATGGCCTCGACGACGCTGTCCGGGCGACCCTTGCTGCATGTATCCACTAGACTAGTGTCTCTGAGCCTTCACTAGCATCTCCGCTGCCAACGGAGACCTCAGTTATGTCCGCCCATCTCGCGGGCTGCCGGTCGCGTCCTTTTTCCCTTTTCAGCTTTGTGACTGTTTGCAGCTGAGGTCCACAAGACGCGCTGCGTTGTTTCTAAGCCGTCGGAATCCGAGGAGGACTTGCTCGCGTTGGCTTCATCAGGCATTGCCAGCCTTGGGGATCCTTTTCAGCCCCTCCGTCCCCTCCCTCCTTCTAGATGGCTTGCAAACATGTTCAAACGATTCCCATAACGCTGTTGGAAGACGCCAGGTCGAGGTAGGTTCAGTTCATGCTGAAATCGCATTTCTTACTGGCCTTTTCTTCCCAAACGCCCAGCAGCGTCCCTTTATCTAAGAAGCTGTTGGTCTATGGGGAAAATAATTCAAACTCATTAGCTGGGTAATGCTGTAATTAGGCTAAGCTAAATAATGGATATACAGGGTTTTCTATTCATCAAAACCTCCCCGAAGAGTTCTAGAGCACTTGAAGGCTTCTACATCATGTTTAGATGTTTCAGGTTTAGTCCTAGTAAAGAAATTATCACACCAGGTGGCAGCATTTGGCTAAAACTATAAACAGCCTGCTTAGGACTTGAAAGGGAGATCTGCAGGAAGCCCCAAAGCTAAAACCTCGAACTTTTCAAAAAAACTGTCCTGGAAGAAGACAAGACCACCCATTTCCATGTTGTTGACAGGATAATAACAAGGTGGTGTGTGCAAATATTAACCAGGAGTCAAGTTCTGCTCCAGCTTTTAACAAACATATTACTTGGTCTTATATATGGATGTTTTTTCTCTGATGATAAGAATAGAAATAGAAATAGAAATAGAAATAGAAATAGAAATAGCATAGCATAGAATAGAATAGAATAGAATAGAATAGAATAGAATAGAATAGAATAGAATAGAATTCTTTATTGGCCAAGTGTGATTGGACACATAGGGAATTTGTCTTTGGTGTATATGCTCTCAGTGTACATAAGGAGAATAAAATACATTCATCGAGAATAGAAAGATACAACCCTTAGTGATAGTCAAGGTTACTAATAAGCTATCAAATCGTACTAGGCAACAAATAAAAACAATATAATTTGAAAGATACAAGCAACATGGTTATAGTAGTAAGTGGGAAGCAATAGATACTAGTAAGGAAGAGAAGAAGAATAGTAATACAGTCTTAGTAAATTATTTGACAGTGTTGTGGGAATTATGGTAATATTTTTTTTTGTTTTTTTTTATTATTATTATTTATATGCCGCCCTTCTCCGGAGACTCAGGGCGGCTTACAATGCGTTAAGCAATAGCCTTCATACTTTTGTATATTTATACAAAGTCAGCTTATTGCCCCCACAAACTGGGTCCTCAATTTACCTACCTTAGAAAGGCTGGAAGGCTGAGTCAACCTTGAGCCTGGTGAGATTCGAACTTACAGTAATTGCAGACAGCTGGTGTTAATCACAATGCTATCAGTCTGCTGAGCCATCAGGCCCCTGGTGGCTCAGGGCCCCTGGTGGCTTGTTAAGCAGAGTGATGACATTTGGGAAGGGATACTAAATAAAAAGTTGCTCCCCCTCCCCCATCCACCACTACCAAATTAAAAATTTTGCTTCTGTTTCTTATTGACCACACAATGAAAATGAAGAGCAGGATTTTTTTACAGAAATGGAAAGCCATTTTTTTCCTGACTAAATTATTGAATCCAAACCTTTTCTAGGAATTCCTTGATTAAGGCAGTAACATTTTTGTCACATTGTTATGCTTTTCTTGTACTAAATTTATATTGATATTTTTTATTCTATTCATGCTTGAGCATGTATAAATATACATATAGAAATAAAATGAAATTCAGTAAAGTTCCGATGTAATCAAAGCTTGGATTCAGACATCAGGGAGGCTGGGCAGCCTTTTCTATAGTTCCTGTGTCCTTTCTCACCCTCCCTCATTCCTAAAAGAATAGTTTTCTTTTCTCACAAAGTCCAAGGGTGATGGATACTATTCTATCCATTCTGTCTGGCCAAGATGCTGCCAGTGAATAATGGTTTTTGTCAAAGAACTTCGGAGAGCTGCTGGAGTGTGCAAGTAGGTAAAAATTGTTCAGGCCAGTGATCTGACTTTATATGAGCAATCTGGAATGTTAATAGTAATTTGTGTTAACTTGCTGATTTCTGTTAAAAGGGATTGCTATTCAGACTATTTTTGTCTGCATTTTTTGTTTCTGTCTCAAGGGATAACTCCCTTGAGCGTTTATCCTCCCAGCAATCTAGTATAAGAGATGTGCTTACAGGAACCTGAGGAATGACTGCACAAACAAAATATGTGAGCTTGCCACAATGGCCCAGAGCAATCCAGTTTTGTCTTGTATTCCAGTTAGGCAATGGTCTTAGAGATAATACAGTCTATAAAAGAGATATTTAGTTATCCTTTTCCACCTCCTTGGAATGGAATTGAGTAAGACTTTGTGGTTAAACCTCAGAGATTGGGGGTGGGGGGGAATAGACACTGTCTGGATTCACACATTGCACTAAGCCATAATGTGGTTTGTTTGGGTTGGTACAACTTGCTAAATTGTTCCTTCTAATTTGGCAGCCATGGTACATTGCTTACTGTTGCACAAGAATCCAGCTAGGCGAGCAGAAAAGAAGTATATGCACTGAATAAATATTCTGTAACGTGAAGATAAGTGAACCATGGCCTAACGTTATGTGTGAAAAATCTTGGTGAATGTTTTTCTTTTTCTCGCCTTGTCAGTTCTCAAAAGTGCCTTGAACAAAGTTAGCCACCTTACCAGCAACATGGTGCTATCGTTTCTGAAGTGTGTGCAAGAACTTCTGCTCATCTTTGCCTTGTGTTTTGCCTCTTCCTGGTCGAATGACTTTCTCTACCATGACTATTGTATTATTGGGGCCGGCCCTTCAGGCTTGCAGATGGCCTATTTCCTTCAACATGCAGGTCGGAACTACGTTGTCTTTGAACGTAGAAATACACCAGGGCACTTTTTCACCTTGTATCCCCGTCATCGAAAATTGATCAGCATCAATAAACGTTACACGGGCAAATCAAACAGTGAATTCAACCTTCGCCATGATTGGAACTCATTGCTTAGCCACAATAACCAACTGCTTTTTCGACACTACTCTCAGGATTTCTTCCCTGATGCCGATACTATGGTGCATTATCTGGCTGATTTTGCTTCCAAACTAGCCCTCCATGTGCACTATAACACATCCATTGTACTTGTGATGCTGGAAAAAGATCCCAAGGCTTGGAATGGTCATTACTTCATCCTCAGAGACCAAAATGCTAAGAATTACAAATGCAGGTAAGAGATGAAAAACTTCATCTGTTCATTAAAAAAATGTCATATTGCATGGATGCTCCCATAGTAAAAATGCAGGTGTTCTTGATTATTAGTACCGTGCGTGCATAAACCATCTTTTGGGGACGGAAGATAATTTAGGTGCCAGTGCATATTTTAGGGAGACCCTTTCAAGATACAGCTGGGTAATCTAAACACTCCCCTATTCCATTCCTTCACTCACCAACATAGCTTTCCCTACAGATGTCCATTTGGAATATGGACACATTGCTGGAGGTGACAGAACTGCTGTCAGTGAGATGTGAGCTGGTTGATTTATTCTAAGACATTCCAGAAAGTCTAGGTGGTCTGAAATGCAGCAACAGGCATGGTGAGCAATCCAGGAGATTCCAAATTATCCTCATGTTGAAATAGCTGCACTGATTGCTTGTGGGACATAATTCAAGGTCCGTCCTGTGGTATATGAAGCATTACATGGCTTAGTTTCAAATGACAATTAGATCTGTCTGCTCCTGTACAGTCCATCCTGTGCAGTGAGTTCCTCAGTAGGACACTTTGTGCCACTCTCACATAGATTTGTTTATCAAGAGTTATCAACTTATCTATAGTAAGACTTTATATAGTTACTGAGAGTGGGAAGCATATAAATCTGTTAAGTAGGTAACATGATTGAGAAAGATTCTTCCCTTTTTCTGTATAGTTTATAATTTTGTAAAGTCTTGTATTATCCCTCTGAGCAAATTTTTCCCTTTTCTTGTACCAGTAACTGAACTCTTATCTTTTCTACTACTATATATTTCGGAGTATAAGACGCACCGGAGTATAAGACTCACCTACCTTTTTTGGTGAGGAAAAGAAAAAGAAATCTCCCTCTGCCTCTGAGCAATTTTGCCTCCTTACAGCAAACAGCCTGTTTTACTTTCATTTTTGTTTTCAGCATAGCTTGATTAGCACAAGGGAAAAAAAATGCTCCAGCAATGTACCTCTTTGCAGCAAGCAGCAGTGCCCTGCACAAAACAGCTGAGAGCAAATCAGCTGAGAGTCGGGAGGCCATCCAATCAACTTGTGCTAATTAGCCTGTGCTGAAGCTGAAAGGAACTGTTTTTTCTTTCTGTTTGCTTGAAGGAGGTAACTGCTGCGAGGCAGAGGCCAAAGGGTGGGGGCCAGTGGGTGGGCAGGGCTACATTCGGTGTATAAGATGCACCTAAATTTTCATCCCCTTTTACGGGGGAAAAAGGTGCGTCATATACTCCGAAAAATACGATAATTAAAGGTGCTTCAAACATGCTGGATCAGTTACGTTGCCTGTTTTGGCATCTTTCTGGTTTTGTTTGCCCTGTTTACCATTGTAGCACCAAAACTTTCAGTATAATCACATCAAATGTTTTTAGAAGTAGAGAATGGAAAATATAGTAGAAAATATAGTTTTCTAATCAAACTCTTTTAGTAGTCTCAACATAGATTTTCACTCCATTAAAATATTCTGCAGTATGAAAATGCTCTTCTCAGCCTGTTTCTAATAATTGCTATAGTATGATCTTTTCCTTTTTCTCTCCCACTAAATTGATAAATAAAAATCGAAATTACCTGAGAGCTAATTTTGGTGGTTTTGGATTTCTCTCTTTATAAATCAGTTTTTTGCTGCACAACTTTATTGCTGAGATAAGAGTTTGGTGATTTTGTGAAGCATGTAAATAGTACTAGAGAAAGATATTTTGTCATATAAAGTGACTGACCCTAATCAAAATGTTTTTTCTCTATTTTAGTGTTCTTTTGGTGGCCACGGGTATGTGGGTTCCTCACGAAGTAAACTTTCCAGGTTCAGAATATGTTGAAGGTTACGAATCCGTGTCAATCAATCCAAAAGATTTTGTTGGACAGTCTGTATTGATCTTGGGTCGGGGAAATTCTGCCTTTGAAACAGCAGAGAACATTCTGGGTGTCACCAATTTTGTACACATGGTAGGCCGATCTCGAGTTCGTCTTTCTTGGGCTACTCATTACGTTGGAGATCTGAGGTAAGACTTCATATTCATATGAACTGTTACATATATTCAGAGATGAAAGATACATATTTTTAAATGTGTTTCATTCAAATTCCAAATAAAAATATTGAAGAGTTCAGGACCCAGGATTGAATCTTGTTGCCCTCCACTTGGTCTCTTCCTCCAGTTTAACAGGAAACTATTGATTAGCACACTTTGAATATGAATTTTGAAATAGCTGTATATTCATTTCAAGGTCATGTGATGCACCTCCGTTTTAATTAGGTTCCTAATCAGAATATCCTGAGGCATTCTATCAAATATTCTGCTAAACCAAAATATTGTGTGATATATGTCTACAGTATTTCTCTAGCATATTAAGAAAGATAACTGATCACAAAATAAGTTTAGTTGGGCAAGACATATTCTTGTCAAAAAGCATTACAGTATTTTCAAGTATCTTTATTACCCTAAATTTCAATTAATCTGGCCTCACATAATTAAACTAATTAAGAGAAAAGTGGATTCTCCGATCATGTTTTGATTGGTCTTAATGCTGCTTCTTTATTCTGCTTCTTATAATTGCCTGGTGGAACACATACCCTCTTGTTAGAGAAACCAAATTAGAAATCAAATTGTTTTGCTTTTTCATTGTAACCTATTAATATTTTGCCATCTTTTTTATTATATCAATTCTTTTCTCTACATTTAAGTTAAACATATCTGAGGCAATGCTTTAGTTTGGTTTAATGAATCAAGCTTGATTCATTTTGAATTCTAGCCTTTCTAATATTTCTATAATCTGGATTGTTGTGTAATTATCATTCTTTAGCAATCTGCCCCTCATTCCATTTCCCATATACCTCTTGCTCTTGCTTCTGGATCTTAGTAAACCTTTTGTGCAGCCATATCATTGTCTTCTGCTGGACTGCACTTTTTCCTTGCTGGAATTGCTTTCAATTGTGTCTGTAATTCACTCGGTTTTTAGGAACTCCACCCACTTTGAGCTCCTCTTCCTATTAACTTTTCCAGCAACAGAATCCTACTTATTATTACTCTCTGTTCATTAAAGTCTTTCATGAAGTCCAAGATATCCTTTCAATTGTACTCAGCTTTATTTTCCTCTCAAATAATAACTACATTTTCTAGATTAAGTGCGCTTTTTGGTTTGCATCGTATAAAAAATAACGGATTCCTATACCTTTGCTGACTCTGAAGAAAAAGCTGTTAAGGAGAGAAATCAGGAATTTTCTAGAAGGACTATGCTTTTCAGAATTCATCTCGCAATTTATGTTGGAATAATGAGTTTCCTACCATTTTGAAAAAAACCCTGCAATTAGGCACATCTTTTTGGTTGGTCTGGTAAACAGAGATTAACTCTGCCCCTCTGTCCTGGTTTGAGTAGAACGTAACATTATTTCAGAAGAACAGCCAGGCCAACCTGAGATAGTTGTGGGGAGTGTTATGTAGGCTAATAGCTCAGACTGCCATATGCCAAGCAGCCCATTTTTGCCCACTTTTTCTCTAGCAACTAGTCTGTATATGGCATCTATTTTGTTAATAGTCCTGCCCGGTATCATCATTCCAAGCCCCATCTCCCTTTTCATGCCTGTCCCTCTGTTAGCTGCTTAGAATAAATAGGTCAGCAACTCTTTGAAGAACCAGGCAGAAGCATTTTGATCACTGCGGTTTGTTATAGAATGGACCTTTTATTTTTGGTCTTCAAGGAACAAGACATGGAATATTTGTGAAAGAAGCATGGCGTAAGCAAGTATAGACCTGTAAGTGAGATATGCTTGATTTCAGTAAGACATAAAGTTGACATTTTGGGGATTTGAGATTATGATGATGAATTCAAATCAGTCTGCTGCAGGATGAAGTCCTCTTCATTTAATGTTATGGACCATAAATCTATCACATTGATCCAATGCAGGTTGGTAGACTATGATTTTCAACCTCCCTGTTTAGGGCTGAGAAAGAGTGTTTAACCCAAAGTCACCCAGATAGCTTCTAAAGGAAGATTAGAACCTACCAACCTTTAATCTAGTACTTTAGCCCCTACCCTACAGAAAGATGGCCATTCACGACTTTTTAGTGTGAGTACATTCAGGAAGTAATTTTTTGATTATAATTAGTGATTGTAAACCCTCCCAATATGAAAAAAATAAAACAAAGACTGCTCCCTCACTTATTCTTTCTGGTGTTCCACAAGGCATTCTGTTTTGTTATATTTGTTAATCATCTTCCTAGTATATTTACAAAAGAAAATATAATAATTTGAAGCAAAACAAAAGTAATGTCTTCTCCATCAAAATACTAAAACTAATGTAGAACATAATAGCAACACATGAAGTTGCTTCATACTTAGCCAGAGAGCTTCTATATTTAATCTAGAATTGCTACAATGAGTGACAGCCATTTTTCTAAATATGACATGTAAAATTTACATCCCACCTATTGTTTTTTTCCTTTCTTCCTTAGAGCAATTAACAATGGGCTCTTAGATACATACCAGTTAAAATCTTTGGATGGACTTATAGAGGGGGATCTAGAAGACTTAGTTCTCATCAAAGACAGAAAAGGAAAGCTGCATATCACCCTTCGGTTCTACTTGGAGAACAGCAATAGCAGTGACCCAGAATCTGTCACTCTTCCACAGGATGAATTAGACAACTTTGCCACTCGGGCACCTTATGACCGTGCCATTCGCTGCCTGGGTTGGAAGTTTGACTTTTCCATATTCAACAAGTAAGGTGGGATTAATTCTAACGTGACAGAGGGATAGGATGTTTGGGAGGGTTGATATGTATAGATAGGTATGTGGCATGGATGGAATTTTCTGAGCCTCAAGTAAACAAAATGTCATGCAAAATGCTTTCCATTTTTTATTAAATGTAATATTTGCAGTACTTTATAATGTATTTTTTTTTATTTTATTTATATGCCGCCCTTCTCCGGAGACTCAGGGCAACTTACAATGCATTAAGCAATAGCCTTCTTACTTTTGTATATATTTATACAAAGTCATCTTATTGCCCACACAATCTGGGTCCTCATTTTACCTACCTTTGAAAGGATGGAAGGCTGAGTCAACCTTGAGCCTGGTGAGATTCGAACTTGCAGTAATTGCAGGCAGCTGATGTTAATGACAGTGCTTTAGTCTGCTGCGCCACCAGGGCTCTCACTATTTCACATTTGCAAACTTAGTTCCATAGTAAAATGGTTTGGAGAGACTAAAGCTCTCATAGTAAAATGAAGTGCTTAGCTATTCCCATGACATTATCTTTTATCCTTTTGGGACTGCATAAGCAGTAAGATGTTCTTCTATCTCTGTTTTCATGCAACCATTTTGTTGTTGCTATCCCTTAATTCAGTCTAAACTAAAATAACAATTAATTAGCTTCCATTATTGCTTTAAATGATTTAAATAGAACAAGATTATTGTGTCACATATGAGACTTGCTTTGCTCTCCTTTAAAAAGCCAGTAGCTCTGCAGTTAGGGTGCACCTATCTGAATATAATTGCATCATAATTCTGTTTAATTTCAGGGCAGCAATGTGTGGATATGCTTGGGTTCTGTGCCCAAGAAATTAGACTATAGCTCTCTAGAGTCCCTCCTTTGGCAGGCAGCTCTTTCAGTCAGGTCCCAGAAATAAGAGGGAGCTGAAATCTGAGTGGCAGGTCAGCTGGGTAAAGTAAGGAATGGGGGCTGCCTCAGGCAAGTGTGGGAAGTTCTAGGAGCCCCATGCAGGCTGAACTCACATCTCTTCACTTGGGTGCTGAAAATCCTGCTTGGATTTTGGCAGGGAATACCATCTACTTACAACCTAAGAGATCACTTAACAACCTTGATAGGAGCCTTGGTAGTACAGTGGTTTAATGCACCCTGTTATTAACACAGCTGCCTGCAATTTCTGCAGGTTCGAATCTTACCAGGCTCAAGGTTGACTCAGCCTTCCATCCTTTCTAAGGTAGGTTAAATGAGGACCCAGTTTGTGGGGGCAATAAGATGACTTTGTATAAATATACAAAAGTATGAAGCCTATTGCTTAACGCATTGTAAGCTGCCCTGAGTCTCCGGAGAAGGGCGGCATATAAATCAAATTAAAATAAAAAAAAAAACCATAACCAGGAATGCCAGCATTGCAGTCATTGAGAGAAGCAGTCACATGGGCATCTCGCTTAACAACCACTTTGCTCACTGACTGAGATTTTGGCCCTAGTTGTGGTTATAGGTCAAGGACTACTTGTAAAGAAAGACCTGCAGCTCAGGCATAAGGATACCCAAAGTAACACTGTTGATATTTTCTGTCTTAAACATACTTTTAGATAGTTTCATTATGCCGAGGATGAGTGTCATTGGGAAAGGGATATTTTCTGAGCCTTTTAACATGTAGATGGTCTCAAGATCAAAGCTCATCTCATATACTGCCCCTTCTATTGAAATCTGTGAAATCAGCCAGGCTCCATTCTCGATGCAATTCTCTCTTCCCCTCTCCCCTCCCAGATCTGTTGGTTTGATGCATGGCAAAGGCAGTAAGAAGAAGTATCCTTTGATCAAGCCCAGCTATGAAGCCAAAGCTACTCGAGGCCTCTTTCTTCTCGGAACTGCAAGCCATTCAGTGGATTTTAGGAAATCTGCTGGTGGTTTTATTCATGGCTTCCGATACACAGGTGAGCTTTGGACGTGGGGAGAAAGTGAATGTGAACAAGCTCAGCAGTGACGTTGTGGCATTTGCAGCCCATCTATTTTTTTTTTCTTTTAAGCAAATTATTCCATTCTTTTTTCCGTTTATCAACAGAAATAACATGCTGCGTTTTTTCAGCAATACCTTTTCTATTATACACAATGATGAAAGTAGCAAATGCAAATGAAGAACACAACTAAAAATTCAGCTTCAAAAGCCAATTAGTATAATGCAACATATAAGCATTAGCCTGCCAAATGTTTTTTTTACTTATTGTAAAAATATCTAAATTACAATGTCAGCCCCAAAACGGCCAGCCACGAGTAGATAAACGCTTCAAACTGAACTGTGTTGTCTGAGGTTTCTTGATGCTGAACTACGGAACATGACAGTCATGTCAATTTTACATATAAATTTGCCGCCAGCAGTTTCTTCAGGACCTGGCGCATCAACTGGATGTGCTCGTCCGTGGTCTTGGTGTAAATCAGGATGTCACTGAGGTAAATGCGCACCCCCTTATACAGGTGTTCATGCAAGACCTCATTTATCAATTGCATGAACACCGCCAGAGTCCTTGCAGTCCAAAGGGCATTACTCTGAACTGATAACTACCCAATGGGCAATTAAATGCAGTCTTCCACTCGTCCCCTTTGGGGGCTCGTCCGGGAGGACATAGCGAGGGATGTTGGTCAGGGAGAGGGCTCTCCAGAGGAGTGGTGGAAAAGATCCTCAGTGGCTGCAGGTTCAGGGCCCCCACTGCTTACACCTAGCCCCTCTGGCAGCCATTTGCAGAGGTAGCCTATAATAATTGTTATATAATTGCTTAGCACATTGTAAGCCGCCCTGAGTCTCCGGAGAAGGGCGGCATATAAATCAAATTAAAAAAAAAAAAAACAGTGCATAGTAGCACAGGGTTTACCCCCTTTAGGGTAGCAAACGGGATAGACTTTGTCCCCATACCAGAATGCCCTCGGGAAACCCCTGCAACCATTAGCCTGGTCAAGTGGCTGAACGACCTGCAACGGGTGTGGGGAAACGTGGGAGGGGCATTACAAAAAGCGGCAGATTTCCATAAGGCTCAAGCCGACAAGAAGTGCAGTCCTCAAGCCGCGTTCCAAGTTGGTGAACAGGTATACATCTCCACCAAATACTTACAGCTCAAGGTACCCTGCCATAAGTTAGCCCCCAGATTTCTGGACCTGTTTCCCATTGTGCGTATCATCAACCCAGTCACAGTGGACCTGTGAAGCTCCCTCGGTTATTGGGTAATATATGCCATAAAAGAAAACGGGTAGGAAAGGAAAAATAACATTCAAGTAGTACATTTAGAACAGTTACCCACTGTATCAAATTTTCTCTAGTCTTTCTCATTGTTGTACAAAGAAAAGCATTTTCTGTATCTATCAGGAAATATTTGTGGTTTTCCAGACATTTTTAAGCTACAGTTTCTGGCATCCCACATCAGTTTTCGGAAGGACTTCCCAACAGTGGTTGTGATATTACTAAATCAATCAGATGTGAAGGCCAATAAAGACTCAAAAATCTGAATTTGTACTTTCAAGAGTGGGGGCAGTCAAAGAATAATCTAGTAACAGCATTATCCATGTTTTTCTTCTTCCTGCTATAGTGTGAAACTATGCCAAATAGTTGTAAGCTTTTTGGCTGTAGCCCAAAACACACTTGTTGCACATTTCAGTGGTCTTATTATTAGGGCAGTTCTCTTAGCATGTAATATTAAATGATAATATCTGCCTCTTTTGTTCTTCCCCCATTATGCAGCCCGTGCAGTTCATCGTTTACTAGAAGTCCGTCACCACAAAGTGCCCTGGCCAGCCTCCAACTATCCTGTTGTGCAGTTAACAAATGCTATTGTCAGACGGGTGAATGAGGCATCTGGGCTCTATCAGATGTTTAGCGTGTTGGCAGACGTCATTTTGCTGAAAGAGTGAGTGAGTAATGATACTCAGGGGGTTTTCTCCTTTAGAATCAGTGAATGGAATCAGTTAATTCCTTTGAGTAGAACTTCTGCCAAGCGTAACCAAGAGGGAACTCATTCTTTTCTTCCTTTCTGCCACTTTCATGACACTGTGAGTCCTTTAAGCTTGCACTAAAACAGCAGTCCCCAATCTTTGTGGCTTGGAAGCCCGGCTGGGGAGGGGGGGAGGGGAACCAGTCCAAGTGAGCAGTGGAGCTACACATGTGCATGCACATTGGCCTGCCACTTGCATGAATGGAGCTGCGTGCACACAGCTCGCCGCTCATGTGAATGGAGCTGCTCATCCATGTGCGCACCAGCCTACCTCTCGCACAGCCCAGTTCCAAATAGGCCGTGGCCCAGTAGGGAGCCACAGCCCAGGGGTTGGGGACCTCTGTTCTAAAGGGTTTATAATACTTGAAAAGCAGATTCTGAGAGGCATAAGAGCTGGGAGGCAGAAAAAAAGGAAATCCATACAAGTAGTTTTCTATTCCCCCCAATAATAGATTCTACCCAGTTTTGCCGTAACAATCCTGTAAGGTAGATTGGGTGGAGAGTTAATGATTGGTCCAAAGCACCACTCATTACTAGATTTAGTATTTAACCTGGTCTTTCCAATTTTAGTTATTAACCATGTTACATTGATTCTTTTACGATTAACACTCCTTAATGCTAAAGAGGATTGCTCTAAAACTCTTCCTTTGAGAAGGATGTATCAGTGCAAAGGTTTATTCATATAGTGGGATTGATTCCAGTCACACATTTTTGTTCTGCCAAATTCAGAATTCGGTGAATGAACTAAAAGATTCAAGCAAGAGCATAAACAAAGTTTTTCTGTACTTTACAAGCTGTTCCTTGTAATATATATTAAAATACTCTAATCCTTAGATCATGAACATACAATTGACAGTGGTCAGATCTCTTTGGAGTAGAGAGTTTAGCTAAGGGTACCACCATAGCTGATGCTTGATAATCATGGAATAAAGCAGAATTTAAAATTAGTTCCAAATGCTGAATTGGGTATGATAGAAAATGCAATCCCATTTTTTTTAAAAAATCCTTTTTTTAAAATCAGATAATTGAGCGCATCAGTATTAGCCAACTTGCCTTGTTGTATTTGAAATGTATTTGTTTTGATTGGTCCTAGGAATGCTACAAAATTTGAATACCTGGAGGAGTATCCAGTTGGAGTCCTACAAGATCTGGAGTGGCGCACAGGAAGAAAGGTGCAGGATGGACTTTTTGTCATTATAATGGAGTATGGAAAGAATTTCTCTGGTCCGGACAAGGATGTCTTCTACTATAACCGTGCAGTAGGAGAGCCAGAACACGCTTGGCAGTCTAACTTCCTGCATCCTGTAATTTATTATTATAAGCAACTTCCCACTGGTAAGCAATTTTTTTTTTAATTCCTTCTCCACTAATTACAATGTTTCATATAATGTTAAAAGTGTCAGAAAGGTGACTATATTTAGTATGGTTTGGATAGTTTGATAGTGTGCTGGGGTTGATTTATATAGATAGGATAGCTAGCATTCAGGAGGCATTAAGGAGACAATGATAGACACAGCAAAAGTGGCTACACCAGATCAGAGACTTTTGACCACTTTGGGTGTGTTTTTATTTATATTTTAACTGTTGATAATTTTGAACTTGTTGATTTTGGTTCTGGTGTTGGCCTGTTACCCAGTGCAGGACACACTATAAATAATATATTTTTTAACGGAAGAAATTTCTTGTGCTTTTACTGTTTATTCTTCGGACAGCTTTTGATTGATAAAAAATTGATTCATGACTACAAGCTATTCTTTTCCTTTGCCCCAGACTTTTCCAAGGGTCTTCCAAGACTAAAGGCAATCATTTTACTCTTTAAAAACTAGTAATTTCACTACCACCCCAAAAAAGGGACACTTGGGAACACATGGAGAACATATCCCTCTCATAATGAGGCACTGATGAGATCCCTTAAATATTGGCTATAGACATTTTAGTCAGTCAAGAGGAATAAGGGAATAGGCCTTATCTTTATACACTTTGTCCATGTCCTCACAATCTCCAAGGCAAACCGTGCCCCCCCCCCATCAAATTATGACAAATAGTGGCTCAAACTGCAACCCTAGCAGTAAATATGAGCAATTTTATTTGGAAACAATTATACAAATTTTTAATGTGTACATATCTTTATAGTCTTCTGTCAATTATAAAGTGGTTTGGTGAGTACCATGACAACTATATAAATAAGGTACGTTTTAACTGGTTGGGTTATGCAAATTTCAATTTGGCTGAACGAATTATTGAGATGAGTCCAAATAATACGTGGATGCTATTTTAACAAATAGCAGGGGGGGGGGGGGGGGGGGGGGGGCAGGTAAACACACTCTGACAAAATGCACTAAAATACTGTCTTTTCTAGTGATATGATCTCTGCCATCATTTTTAGTTTTCCTGTTGCCTCTGAAAAACCCCAAAAAACGTAGAGTACCTCATGCTTGCAAGGAGGTCCTCAGCCTCACATTAGGAAAATACACAATGTTTGTGGAGTCTTTGGTACTCTGAGCTTGGTCGTTCACTTGCACATGTTTCATTACCCAATTATGTAACATTACTAATGATGTTATCTAATTAGGTAATGAATCATCTACACACAATCAACCAAACTCAGAGAGCACCAAGGACTCCACAATTCAGCCCTGAGCTACAAATATTCTCTTCTGTTCTTTTCTTTAATTGTCCTTTTGTTGTTGAATGCTAACTTGTAAAGAAAACTTCTGCACTCCAAGACTCTCTAAAGCCTCCCAAATTAGTTTCTTGCCCATTCTTTTCCTTTGTGTGCCTTTTACTTTGCGTGCTCTCTCTCTCTTTCTTCCCAATAGAACGTGAAATGAGACTTTGCCCTCCAGATTGGCCCTTGCCTCGCCCAGATGCAATCCATCACATTGTGGAAGATTTCCTGACTGACTGGACTGCACCAAATGCACATGTCCTCCCACTGAGACGTTTCTTGGAGAATTGCCTTGAAACTGACTTGCGCAGATTCTATGCAGGTATTCTGGGAACTAGTTAGGGATGAATCTATAGGGAATGGAAGCAGGCAGATAGGCCAGGTAACCATTAAATTCCTTTCAGCTGAGATCCATGTTTACACATAATCCCTCATCAAAGTGGGTCAGTCTCTTGATCTTTGTGGAGTCCTTGGAAGGTAATAATACCAAAGATATTGCCAGTGAATCCATGATCACCTGAAATGAGCACAAGATTAAAAAAGGACAATTTGGATTTAACAACTAAAATATTTGTACTGAGAACTGCATATTAAAACTGGATTTAAGAACTTTGTAGCACTAAACTTGCATGGATTTCCTGGCAAGAGCTTTATTCTCTGGATTAGCATGCTAAAGGCAAAATGGTTTTTTTCAGACGTGTCATAAATACTAGTAAAGATATTTGCATGTCTCTTCTCAGTCAAGGACTCCAGAAGGTCACAGTACCTGTTATAGGGAGATTGTAAACTCACAGGTCTCATTCATTCATCTCCAGAGTGTCAACACTAAATGTGCAAAGAACATCATGTCTTTTTGCCCAGGGAAGCACATATATGTTTTTGCTTAGTTTTAGCTCTTGGGGAGAAAAGAGCACAAACATGTTGAGCCAAATTTTGCCTATACATTGTCTATTAATATATCCTAAATGAATAAGCCACATATGCTTGGTTTGATGTGGACCTATTACAATATATAAATACAGCTACTATAGTTTACAGTGAGCATTAGTTGCTTTATACTTATAGCACATGAACTAATCTACCCACAAGTCAGAGAACTATTTAAAAAACAACAAAGTCCATGTTTTTATATCAGAAGAACAAAAAGTACAATTTATGGGGTGCTTCATGTAGCCCACCAGTATCGTTTTTGGGTGTCCCCAGAACCCTCTTAAAGAATAAAATTAGCTACAAAACTGGGTCCTTTTGCATTTAGAGACAATTTGGCAGTTTTAATTGGTCACTTAAAAGCCTTCTAGATGTTTTAAGGTACTGATTGTACTCTTTAAACTTCTTCCCCAAATGGGCACTTTTAAGTATGGGCTCAAAATACCATGTAAAATCTGATGCTACTTTCAAAGTATTTAACAAAATTTATCCAGACCTCCTTTGTATGATGAGATTCCAGTGAGCATTGACCATACACTTCACAATCTTAAGGATTTGAAACTTGTGTTACTGATTTTTTTAAAGTTGAACTTCTGAGTCTTTTGAAAAAAGACTTAGCCTACTTCTAAGTGGGCAGAAGACTTTTCTCAACCCATTGTTTAATTCTTTTTCTGGTATGGTGTATAATTATATCTCAGAGTGGGTTAGCCTCTAACAATATTTCCCATTTCCTTATAATAGAGGCTTAAATGAACTCAGATTGTTGCTGATTCACATACTGTGGGAATCTTTGCTAGAGTTAGAAAATCAGTTACAAACTAAGAACCATAATCTAATCAGAGGGTGAAAATGCTATTAGTGCTTACTACTATTCTGTTTTAATTCTTGGATAGAACAATCTATAAAGCATGAGATGGAGATCACTTTTTCCCTCTGTTTGTACAGAGTCCTGTTTTCTGTTTGCCTTCACTCACTTGAGGCTGCCTCCCTTCTGCCAGCAAGGGTACATGAGAAAGCAAGGGCTTGTGAGAAGTGAAAAGCTTCAGCATCACAGAGTAGCGGCAGAGCTGATTGAACATGCAGCTATGAAGTCGCAAGATGAACAAGAGAGTGGCACTATGCAATCCCACAACCAGCTGCTGAAAAGTGCAAAGATATCCAGTCATCAGCTGCAGTATCTTACAAGCACAAAGGATGAACTTTAGCTTCCACCCAACTATTTCAAAATTAACAAGCGTTACAGCCACAATACCATGGCAAAGATCTGCAAAGGAGCTCCAGCGTCCAGTATTCCTAATCATTCCTAGATGAGGACCACATCTCATCCGTACCATGTTCTTGCACAAATTTGTAGATCTTTATGAACATGAATGTTTACTTTTCTGGGTGGGACTGAACAGATTAGACTTTAATGTGGGAAATCTTACGCATTTGAGAAGAGTGTCTCTAGGCCATTAAGAATGAATAGCTGAGCCTGGCTCCTTTTCTACCAGATTTTCAAGATGCACTGTTGTTAGAATCATTAGTGTGTTCTGTAGAACTGGCATTGAATGCCAGCCTGCTTATTTCAAGACAGAATGTTCTTGCATGTTAGCAGAGTTTCTGTTTGCACTATGTTCCACTTTAGTTTAGTCATGTGTTTCCTATTTTATGTATTTTTCATATTTTTAAGGTAAAAGTAGGTTAAGAATACTGTCTGCACTTTTTTGAACCTTTACCTCCAATGCATCGATTACTCTGACTTCCATTGAGTTGTGTGCAGCAAACTGGAAATAATCCAAGCTCATTTCTTATTTATACCTTCTGTTTGATGGATAGAATGAATGACATTCATACACCATCATCTTCTGTCTCAGCAGACCACGTAAGAAATCTTTGCTTTGATTCCTGACACACACACTGCCTCAATATGATGCCCTCCAGATTCATGAACTACACTTCCCAAAATTCTCAGCCAGACATTGTCATGGCTAAAAAATTAGGGAAGAAAAAATCTAGCAAGTCCGAAAGCTATTAAGATGGGGAAACAGCTGTTCATAATGATATGAATACTAGCCCAAATTGCCCATCACTGCTATTACAGTAGTGGCCAAAATTTTGGAAACCTTTTGGGAAAAGTGCATTTTTGAGGTTTTATGGCTAATAACACCACTTTTTTTTTTTCTTTGAGTTTTAAGATAATCATATTCCACTGCTGGAATGGCCTGGGACTAGCTCAGACCTTAACTCAGTTGAAAATCTATGGAGCCGACTAAAGAAACTTGTTAGTCAGAAGCGACCCAGCAATAAAATCCAGTTAATAGAAGCAATCATTCAATCTTGTTTCATATTATAACAGCTGCAGAATTAAAAGACTTGGTTCACTCCATGGGAAGAATTCACGCTAAAGGTTACCTAACTATTAACTGACTTGATAATTTTTGTATATCTCATTTTTTCTACGTGTTTCACTTTTCTTCTTTATGCTGTAACTGCTATTCTATTAGCAAATCCTTCATAAAAGTTATTGCATTACATTCTTGATTAAATTATCTTTCCATTGATATATAATTTTATGGTACCACTCCAAAAAAAGTGGTGTTATTAGCTAGTTTTAGAAAATACACTTTTCCCAAAAGGTTTCCACAATTTTGGCCACTACTATATATAATCAGTGTTAGAGAAGGAACTAGCTCTGTTACTAAGCCAGAAACTAGTATAACCCTCGTTTAATGACACTATTCATACCAAGCTACCTCCATTATTCTACCATATTACATCTATCTTCATTCTTGCCCGTTCTTATTGTCCAGATATTGTTGCCATTTCCTAAATATGCATGATCAGTACAGATAACCTGAATGGAACATAATCCACTCCAGCTCAAGCATGAATATTCAGTGAATTTATATTCTGCATGGCCGATACTCAGATTAATATGAATATGTAATTGTTTTGGGAGTTAATTGGATATTAATATGGTTTATTAAGCAAGGTTTGAACTGTATGCTTATGCAAGGCTTTTTTTCCAAAGGTCAGATTTTGCTACTATTCCACAGAGAACAGTGATATATCCTGTTCTTCTCAGGCTACCAAATACTTCAGTCATTTAATACCTTTAAATATTAATTCAGACATTTACAATAATTCCAAGGAGGAAAAGGGCAATTGCAGCTCCTTCATTTTGAGAATATTTGTCTTTCCTAGAACAGTATTTTTATTAACTTAAAATACTTGTCAAGTTAATAAAATTAATTAGTGTAATTTAATTATGCAAATAATTTGTTTAAATTTATACTGCCTGTATATTTTGTATGGTTGTATTCTTTGGGATGAATTTTTTTAAAACATTTTTATTTTATCATGAAAACTAACAAGTAGTGTTTTGAAGTGGGAAAGACTCGAGCCTTTCAACCTTTCAGGATATAGATACTGTTCTCAATTTATAACTGTATTTGAGCCCAGAATTACAGTCACACATAATAGTGGTCATTAAGTAGGTCACTACAGCACTGCGCCTGACTTTACAACCTTTTTAGTGGTGGCCATTAAGCAAGCCTGTTCTCAGTAATGGCTACTTTTTGACAAAAACTAAAAGTAAATGCTGGAACCCAGCAAAATCCACCAAAAATCACAGTGAAATGACTATGGGATGCTGCAAATGGCTCTAAATGCGAGCTGGTTGCCAAGTGCCCAAATACAATCACAGGCCGAGGAAAGGTTCAGCCATCAGAACTTTGAAAATGGGTTGTAAAATGCTTGGGGAGATCCACTGCTACCTCAGCCAATAGCTAAGCAAAGATTACCTGTATGTACTAAAAAAGTAATCTCAACAGAGCAATATTTTGTAAGGTCTGAAAACAACAAAAAAAGTGAGGTAAATTGCCCTCTTGCATTTCCCCACACAAATTATTAATAACATTTTGAATTATCGCTTCTTCAGAATCTTGGTTTGTGGCTCTGGTAGATCCAAACATCATATTTGAGTTTTTAAGTGTTTAATCTCAAAGGGTTTAGAAGCTAAAAATTTAACCACATGCTGTTTGCTTCTTGTCTATTTGTTTTTATGCTCCATCTTTTTGTGTCTGCTTTTGCATTCAGACTTTAATGCTTCAATCTTTTGTTGGATATGAATGCAGAGCCATTCTCAAAGGCACCACTGAACTGTAATTCTTAAATGATAAAAAGAAAATTCAAAATATAGGAATAAGCTGTCATTATATTTAATATTTAATTTAAATAATTACATCAATTAATTTTTATATCACACAAACTGGAATGTAGCTTACATTCAAAGCTGAAGTGCTGCCTTTGGCCCCAAAAAGACACATGAGGATTAAAAATTAGCTCCATTTTGCCTTTTAAAAGGAAAAATTTAAATACTGCAATTCTACAAAAGCAGACCCGGAGCAACATTGTTGAAGATAATTTGTGTAATACTGTTGTAGTAACAGTAGGAAAAGCCCCTTCTCTGGACATTTAATAATATAATAATAAACTACATTATGACATAAGAGCAAGTTTTATAAAACCAGCAAGCAGTTTGCAACACAATGAAGTGATGAATTAATGCATAGCTTTTTAAATCAAATTATATAACGGCTATTGAACAAACTTTGTGGTTTATATTGAAACTTGGCAAGTGTAATATGTATATGAAATGCATAATGCACGGAAACACATTTATATAGCTGCCTTGCTCACTGGAGGCAACTTGGGGCAACACACAATAAACTATATATTGAGATCTCGCTCTCACACGCGCACACTCACACACAGGAATAGGATAGGATCCTATAATGAATATCTTTTTTTAAAAAAACATCCTAATTGAAGGGAGAATGTTTAAAAATGCTACCTCAACAACGGAGCCGTTATCTTTCTCCAGTTTTAATAGAATTGTTTATGCTGTTCATAATATCAATGAATGAAATTCGGTGCAGATTGTTGCCACTTTGATGTACCGGTTAAGAGGCTGACCCAGAAACCAGAGAGACGTTTTGAGTTTAGATTTATATTTAAAAAGTCAGCATAATAGGAGGTTACAGTTACTAATAATTAATTTCAGAAACCAATTAACTAAGCCAAGCACGAACACGGGCGCTTTAAGAAACCTAAAGACCAAAAGCTTTTACTTCACATTTCAGTCCGTTAAAGGAGCCGCCGGCACAGCCCCGGTACTTCCACCCCGACCGCAGCGAACACAGAGCCGAATGCAGGTCCGCCATTGGTGCAGTAAAGTAGAGGCGGCGAGGTCAGATTTCCCCGCGAGCCAATCACCACCCAGGCTGAACAGCTACTTCGCTTTCTCTCTAACCAATAAGGACATAGGATATGCTTACTGCTCTCCGCCTTACCCAATCCACTACCAAAGTTGTCAAACGAGCGTTCTTTCAACAGCCAATCACCACGAGAGTAGTTATGGTTGCGTTCTGAAAGCTGCGTCCTTTCGTCCAATCAGCTCCCGGAAGATCGTTCAGCTTTTTGATTCTCCAGGGTGGCCGCGAGAGGCTCTGCGGGGGGTGTGAAGGTGAGAGGTGGGATGGGGGGGGGGGGAAGCGGTTCCCTCGACGGTCTTTATTATTATTATTATTATTATTATTATTATTATTATTATTATTATTATTATTATTATTATTATTATTATTATTATTATTATTATTATTATTATTATTTTCAAGTCGGGGATAAGGGAGCCCTTAAGAGTCACTCTTCACAGTGGAGGGGAAGGTGGTCTAATGAGGACGGCGTACAATATTCAGGGCTGTCTGCAAGTGGGAAATAGTTGGCTGAAGAAATGGGGATACCAGTGGGAGGCTGAGAGGCAGGCAGGCTGTGTTTAATTTTCAACAGAGCTGCTTACTCCTCGAGGAGCTGTCCTAATACTAAAGAGAGGAGGACCTTCGAACATGTGCAGAGTGCCATTGCCTCATCCCTGCAACCACGTGTCTTAAGCTTGTGAGGAAGTGGGGGGGGACTTTTCAGACCAGGAAGTAAGATTTTGGGATAAAGAACTTATTTTCAGGACGGTGCAGAAACCCAGGTTACAATAAGAGGAGTTGAACGAACCGGGTAACACTGCCAGTGTATTTTTTTTTTTTTTTTGGCAGAATTTCTGACCCTTTTCAAAATGATAATATTCAGAAATCTAGTAAATGCAGCTCGATTCATAACTTTCCCTCTAGTCCACCAAAAAGGTGTTTTACATTAGCTACAAGTTTGCTTTGGTGAATGCCAAAACATCCAGGCTAAGGAGTTAGTGAGCATAGATTTAAATTAAGACAAGGAAGTAAGTTGCATTTCATATATATATAGCCCCCCCCCAAAAAAAAGAATATTCTGGAAAAAATATTGACCCAGTTTTGAATTTGCTTGAATAAAACAAATTTGACGGTTAATGGGCTCTTAATTTTTTCTCGCAAACTTTAGTAAATTTTGAAAATGTTGATTTTGAATGTAAAATGATTAATAAAATGTGAAATTTTAGAGAAAATGAATTTTAAAACAGATACTCCATCTTCTCTCCCAAACCCCTCAACAATCCACTATGCTTATTTCTAGTTTGCATGAAAGTAGTTTGCTGTTGTGGAATAATGCTGTTAACAAAATGGTTGTGTGGTCTAGATAATATAAGCGTAAAACTGCTGCAATATTAATATAGCCATGCATCCTGGCTGCGATACTTCTTTCAAGTCTCTATCAATACTTTATAGACAGAGTAGCAAAACAACTGTGTTATGGTTGTCCACCAGACAGAATATATTGGAAATGAATCTCTTTGAATGGCATTGGCAAGTTGTTTAGTATCACTTAACCTTATCCATTATTTATAATTAAAATTGTAAATAATTTAGCTTCACTGTGATACTCGGTTAATGTAGTAATAATGATGTGCTATTTAAAAAGAAGGCTATTTGTTTTATGTCAATAAGTATATTTCAATAATATACCAGAACCATGATGTCCCAGGACAGAAGGCCTTGCTTTCAGGTAAAAGGAACAGCAAATCAAAGCAAATGATTCACTCCTGGCTTAGACCATAGGATGGGGAAACCAAGAGCAATTAAGTTGATAGGCTTAGAAAATAGGCCAGTATGTTGCACCTCAGAAAATCTGGAGTTCTTGAGAAACTTCTATAGTGCTTTAAAGGCTGGTTCATGATTCCAAAAATTAAAGACAGTTTTTTTTCATTAACAATTCTAGTATGGAATCTAGCTTTTGCCATTTCATAATAAAACTAGGCAGCCCATAGTATATATTTCAAATGGAGAAATGTGTGATAGCCAGCTAGAGGAAAGGACTTGACAATTGCCCAGTGTGTAGGTGTGCCCACAACATATACTGTAAAATAAAAATATGAGCATATTTTAAGCAATACATGGCATGTATAAAATACACTGAGTTGCAGGAGAATGCAAATAAGGTAGTCCAAGTATTATTGGGAATAATGATATAGCCGAAATTGAACACAGCAAAGATGTTTATCAAAGGAAACTCTTTTGGGAAATTGGCAATAGTTGAGGGAGGTGAATGGGAACTTTTGGAATCAGTTGGGAAACAGCAACAGAATGGGTAGGCTAGAGGACAGTGAAAATGTAGGAAGTTTATACGGTCACTGTTTGCTCCTTATGATGCTTTTGTTTGTCTTATTCCTAGATGGCCCAAAATCTCTTCAGATCATTGTCTATTCCGGTCAAGCGTCTCAAGCCGGTGCTTCATCCCAGACCTTCATTGCTTCTGTACAGAGTTTCAACTCTGCCGTGCAGGAAACCCTGGTGTACTTCCTTTGCTTCTCCTCTCATGCCTTCACAGACTAGGACATTTTCTACTACTCAGGTCTGTTGGCATACTTTTAACATCCAGGATGAGAATGACTTCCAAGACAGAGTTTTGAAAAGTCAAAAACCAGTGGTGATAGATTTCCATGCCCAGTAAGTATGGTGTATATGTCTTTGTTACAAAGCTGTCAAAATCCTTAGTGTGCTATATATGTATTATAGACTATGTTGTATGGAGGGTTTTGGCCCCAAATGGGCTAGCTACAGTCTGTCTCGGGTTACCTACTGTAGATGCCATAAAATAACTGAAAAGCTATACTAGTTGATTACTTTTTACATCCTCCTTTTCTCTTACTTGGCAATATATAAACCAGTGGTCCTCACTTTTCCACCTTGGCACCCAGCGCGGATGGGATGTGTCAGTGGCACGCACACAGCTCAGTTGGTGTGAGCGGCAGATGTGCGGCCCTCCACTCCACCCTTGTATTCCCACCCGATGCTCCACTTGTGCATGTGAGGGGCACTCGCATGTGAAGCTTCATTTGTGCAAATAGAACTTTGCACGCAACCACTCATTTAAATGGAACTTTGCATGCAAGCACAAGTGCCCTTCACTCGCATAAGTGGAGCTTCGTGCGTGAGAGCAAAGGCCCACCACTCGGGCGAATGCAGCTTCGTGCAGCAGTGCAAGCACCCTCCACTCACCCATGAAGCTCCATTCATGCGAGGAGTGGGCTCTTGTGTTTGCACACAAAGCTCAACTTGTGCGAGTGGAGAGTGCTTGAGCAGAGGGTGCTTGTGCTTGCATACGAAGCTCTATTTGTGCGAGCAGCAAACCTTTGCACTTGCACATGAAGCTCCAGTGGCAGGAGTGGAGGATGCTTGTGCACAAATGGAGTTTCATGCACAAGTGGCCTCTGCTCAAGCACTCTCTGCTTGTGCAGAATGCAAGGGCCCACTGCTTGCACAAATGGAGCTTTATTCAGGAGGGCAAGCATCCTCCACTTATGCACAAAGCTGCACACAAACAGTGGGCCCTTGGCTTGTGCACGAAGCTCCATTTGCTTGAGCAGAGGGTGCTTGTGCTTACACGAAAACTCCATTTGCATGTATGGTGCTTCAAGCACGAGCTTTCTCTACTTGGTCGATTGGAGCTTCACGGGGAAGCACAAGTATATGCCCCTTATGTGAGTGGAGCTTCATTCATAAGTGGAGTGTGCTTGCACTCATGCACAAAGCTCCATTTGCGTGAGCGGAGGGCGCTTGTGTTTGTGCATGGAGCTCCTCTCGAGTGAGTAGAGAATGCTCATGTGAAGCTCCATTTGTTCAAATGGGGCTTTGCGCATGAGTTCCTCCCACTCACAAGTGGAACTTCGTGTGTTGGCACAAGAGGCTGCCACTTGCACAAGTGGAGTTTCATGCACAAGTTCAAGGCCCTGTCACTAGCTTGAGTGGAGCTTTGTGTGCACACGCACTTGCCCATTGCTCATATGGCCTGGTTTCAAACAGGCCCTGGCCCGGAGTTTGGGAACCCCTGTTTTACTCATTTGAGTAGAGTTAACATTTTAAATGTCATCTTACAATTCTTTTTCTCATGAAACACTGAAAAAAGCCATTGGTGCTCTTCAACTTTTTGAAAAAGCAGCTGCATATTTAGTTTTCATCAGAGCTTTCATCAGAGCATAGGCAGATACAAGTTAGCAGAGCATTAGCTAATCAATAACAATAAGGCACTAAGACTTGGATATGGTTCTACCAATTAATGGAGGAAAGCATACAGATGCTTTTATAATGCAATCTCAAGTGCCTTTTTTTTTACGGGAATATAATCCTCATCTGATTATTAGAAGCTTGAAACATTTACCGACTGTTAACCTCCTTCCTATTTCTAAATATAAAACAAATGATACGAAAAAAGATGAGATGATGTGAAATGAAGTAAGTGTGGTAGAATGGGATATAAACCATGTTGAAGATAATGGACAAAAGATGTATCCTTTTCCACAGAAGATTTTTTTTTTAAACCAAACAAAAAACTTTCAGAACACCAGCAGGAATAGGTACATTTAAATTTTGACATACGTTTCCTGCTCTCTTGATTCCTAATTTCCATTGTACAGCTGACACCAAAAACATCAAAAAGAAAGAGTCAAATCAGGAAGTACTTCAGTTTCAAAGTCCTTGTAGGAAAGGTAAACTACATATACCATCCCATTTTAAACGGTTTTTCTTTCCCTACTTGGCTGCTGGACTACAATTCCTGTTAATTTGTCACAAATGAATGGTGAATTCTATTCAGCAATTTTTTGCCTTATCAATCTTATGCATTTATTGAGGGAGTGGCAGTTTGAATAGTACACACAAAAGTGGGATCATAGCTAAGATTATTTTATAGCACTAAATTCACTCTACAGACTTCTGTGAAGTTATTTAAATGATATACTTTCTTGCAGTTCTGTGTTGCTCCAGAATTTTTTTTACTGATGAGCATAGATAATGAAATATTGATTTGGGGTGGGGGTTTTTTAGATACTTTATTACGTCTGTATTATTTTTCTCCATATATAAGATAATGAAACCATTTTCTGATTCCCTTAGGACTTTCTTTTTTCATTCTTTGAAACAATGTAAATGCCTAACACAGACTAACTGCTGAATGCTTGTTCTCACAAGACCCTGCTGTGGCTGTAACATCTGAAAACTTCAATAGTGGCTCAGTATGCTAAAGCATCCTGTAATATAGTATCAGTTTCCAGAGCTACAAGAAATTGTAAACGATGTTGTGATACTGAGAATTTGTTTTAGCAAGTACTAATTTATCCAGTTTCCAGGCATTCCATCAGCCAAGAGCTCAGGGTAGGGGCAGGGGGCGGGTGGCGGGTGGCGGTCATTATTGAAGAAAGTCTTTGTCCGAGGGAGACCACTGTACCTCAGATAGCCGGATGTGAATCGCTCCTTGTGAAGTGGGGTCGTGGGGTGCAGATGGACTTGCTAACTATGTACCTGGCTCCCTGCCACGTGGCAGCGGCCCTGCCCGAACTGCTCAACGTGATAGCCGGGATGGCGGTTGATACCCCCAGGCTTCTGGTCATGGGGGATTTCAACCTGCCATCAGTCGGTGAAACGTCTGTGGCGGCTCGGGAGTTCATGGCTTCCATGATGGCCATGGACCTGACCCAGTTAGTTCAAGGCCCTACTCACACGGGGGGACACACTCTGGATCTGATTTTTGTCTCTGGACAGTGGTTGAATGATCTTGAAATAGGGGACATAGTCATCGAGCCCTAATCATCATCATCATCATCATCATCATACAATGTTTCAATGATGTAAGATCAGAATAGCTGCAGCAAAAAACAAGTTCTAGTATGTAAAAATCAGATCAAAACCCACCAGGCCAACAATTTAGCATCATATTTTCATTTCATGTTGATTTTTTTTTTTTTTTTTACCAACAGCATGTGTGAAAGACTTTCCATTATGAAAAGTTAACTGTATAAACTACAGTAGCTATAACTAAGAACTGTGATGGCTTAAACTTCTCGTTCAAACAGACAAATTAGTATAGAAGATATGAACCTTGTCCCTTACTTGTCCTTGTTCAAATGTCTATTTTGCCTGTTGTACAATATTTGGGAACAAATTACTGCAAAGTATACACCAGTAAAACAAATAAGCAAGATCTTTGCACGTGATCATGGATGGTGCTCTTCTTTCATTGGTTTGTACATGGGTAGAAAAAGAGACTGACATATAGTAAATGCAAGATTACGAGCTGCCTTGTTAGTTTGGATGATAACTTTGTGTGCCCTCTTTAATATAGTTTTCTTCTCCTTTTTGGAAAGAAATGTGAGTTTCTGTTGGCAAGAAGACTCATGAGATTCTGAAATGGTTTTAGTAAATATAGGGTTGTTGTTTTTTTGCTGCTCTTATTTACCCTGAGCATAAACAATACGCAAGAGGCTTACGGATACCCTGAGTAATATATTCTGAGCAGTTTGTAAACAGCAGCTTTTAAATCTTGGCACATAGACTACAAAACAAAATGCAGACTCGTATATCATCTCTTAATGTAACAGTCCAGGCATCACTATTAAACCTGATAGTTCAATATACAGAGGCTTCTTCTTAAAGGCAGATGCTTATCCTTATCCTTTGGGAAGTATCTTTTTAAAAAACCTGTTAATATTGCTTTTTCCTCATTAAACTCTAATGTCTTTCTTTGTTCTGAGATGGTGTGGTCCCTGCAAAATCCTGGGTCCCAGACTAGAAAAGGTCGTGTCCAAACATGAGGGGAAGATTCTGATGGCGAAAGTGGACATTGATGATCATACTGATCTTGCCCTTGAATATGAGGTATGTCCCTGCAACACCTGCATATTGTGTAGAGCTAAGCTAGTTTATTTTTGTTTGTTCTGACCACTATCTCAGATTTTGGCAAGAAGGAGTAATAGAATCTGTGACTGCTTGGCATATAGCACAAATAAAATAAAAACGAGAAAGATTGTAGTTCAGTTTTCCCCAATCTGTTCATCTCCAGATGTACTGGATTACTATTTCCAGAATTTGCACAGTCGCAAATTTAACCTACCTAGGGTAGGAAATAATAGGGCTGGAATTAAATAAATTGTGGGAGATATAGCAAAAGAGTTACAGCAATTCTAGGTCCGAAATCAAGACGCATCCGTAATGGTGTATGAGGCATTTTTTTAAATAGTGAGACATATTGATCTTCATTGTCTGGGAAACTGAACTAAAGAATGACTGGCTCATGAAGGAAAAAGAAAATCATTAGGTAGGCCAGTGTTATTGGGCTTAGAGTAGCCTTCGGCTAATTACTCGGGAATAGTGAGAAATATAATCTAGCACTAGATTATAAAGAACATCCCTGGGAAAGGAAATGGCAAACTATTTTGGCATTGTTGCCCGCCCCCCCCCAAAACAAAAACAAAAACAAAATCTCTGCATAGATTGTCCATGAAGTCACCGGGAGACAAGCTTGGTCCAAATGAGACTTTAGCTTTAATAAAGCTCTGGCTGACTTTGTCTGGATTTGGAAACTAAATTAGTTTGCACCAGGTTAATATTTGATGGAAGATTACCAGGGAAATATCAGGGCCAAAGAGCAGGAGATTGGGAGATCAAAAATGATGCTGAAAGAAGGCCACAGAATCCAACCTCAGGCCAGTGGTGGGTTGCCCCCGGTTCGGACTGGTTCTATAGAACCAGTAGTAAAACCGGAGGGAGGCTCTGCCCACCGACCCCGATGTCATCAGAACGCGAGCGAAGTGAGCACACACGCGTGGTCCCATTGCGAACCGGTAGTAAAGGTAAGTAGAACCCACCCCTGCCTCAGGCCCATGGCCAAGAATACTCTGTGAACATGTCTGAAATTTCCATCAATTAAGCTCAACTCAGAAGACACCTCACCTCTACTATTAAGGATTGGACAAGGAAGAATTTATAATAACCTCTGATACAAGATCCATAATCTTAAAAAAAAAAATCCATCTCTAGAAAACAATAAGACGTAGCAACTCTTTCTGAACACAGGGCGAAGAAGGGAGCAGGAAATTAATTTTGCTTTGCAGAATTCTTTACAAATCTATATTCAATATTTATGAGCAGCAGGACTTTACCACAGTTTCCACCTGAAGAACCCATGTATTTCTAAATTTTGTTTATCTTGTTGTAAAAGTTGAAAAAAATGCAGAAGACATAAAAATACGAGATGGAAACTTAGATTTCCCTCACTACTTGCACCCCACTGAGAGATAAACATACAGCTCAGTGGTATGCAGAAGGTCTGGGCTTATATCCCAGTATTTTCATTACATGGAGAGAGAAGGGGACCGAGCTACTTAAAAACTTGAAAAGTTAGTACCAGTGGAAATGAGCAATATATGCTGAACCTGATGCAAGCAATCCATAACTGCAATGCAGTTTCATCAGGCAGATCCCTCTGATTGAGTTCTTAAGATCCTAAATAATTTCCTCCTGCAAGGGCTTTTCAAAGTTCCCTTTACAATGCTGTGGATTGTCAACAAATTGCCAGTAAACTTCCCACTCCTCTTTGCTGCCCTCACCCACTTCTGTTTACAAGACAGCTGATATCTAGGCCCCAGCATTTCACAATACCCTCTCTGGAACACATTCTTTAGAAGAGAGTGAGAGACTCCCCCTTTGTATGCTTGGAATGCTTGTGCATTCTTCACATAAGTCCTGGCTTGCTCCTGGCTCCAAGTTGTCCCAGAGGAGCAACCATCCATGAACTGTTTCCTGATCTTAAAAAAACAAACCTGCAAGGATTCTTCCTAGAAGGGATACATTGCAAAGCAATGATTTATTGTCTAGTTTCCAAATTGGGAAGGAGTTTGAACACCTAGGGACAGGGCCCTTTCTCTGCTGTGTTGTCAGAACCATTCTGAGTGAAGAGACCTTTGATTTCCTGCAGATTTATTTTTTACTACAGCCTTGACCAAGTCTGGCTGGGAATTCTCATCCTTAAACACTTTATGGATGTCAGGTTGGGCAAGGCTGGTTTGCTGCCCCATGAAAATTACACCATATGATAAATGATGAACCAATTCTGACATTTCCTTGTCCTCTGATTTAGAATGTCCTTTCCCTCTTTAAGTGAGGGCTTTTTGCAATATGAGCCCATCAAAGCTTGCTACAAAAGTAGGAAGAGGGACCTGCCTCAGCCTGTAGCCACCTTTCCTTGAACTTTTTTCTTGTACTGACATGTTTCCATCTTTCCAATTTCTGCTATGCTCCAGTTTCTTCAGTCCTACTCTAAGGCTGATAACTCTTCTCTTGGGGCAACTGCTGAGCAGATTGGAGTGCAAGTGAAAAAGAACAAAGTGGAAAATTTATTTATTTAAGAAAATGTATATGGCCACCCAACCAAAAACACTAATCCTCCACTTCATCACTGGCAACAACAATAATCAAGCCTCTTGATGGGCTCCATATCACTCTGGGATCTCCAGGCCCACTGGCAGAACCATGTCTTTAGGGCATTGCAAAAGAGGGTCAAAGTGGAAGCCAGTCTTGTATCCACATGGATGATGTTCCACAGGGAGGGAGCTACCGTGGAGCAGACCCTTTTTCTTGGTATCACTAGATGGACCACCTTAGGGGAGGGGATCCGTAGCATTCCCTGCCTCCCTACTCTTGTGGGTCAGGTATGACTAGAAAAAGACAGTATTTCAAATAACTTGGTCCCAGCCCATGTAGGGCTTTGAAGTGACAACCGGCACCTTGAATTGGACCCAGAAGCAAATTGGCAGCTTGTGCAAATCTAGGCTTGTGCATAACCATGCAGACCACCACATTTTGAATCAATTGAAACTTGCGTATGCTTTCCAAGGGCTGTTGCATATAGAGTATTGTCGCAATAGTCAAGACGGAAGGTAACTAGGGCAGGAAAAACTGAGCAGTGGTTGTTTGTCCAGAAAGGGCATAACTGGGCCTCCTGGCCATGATTGCCACTTGTTCAAGCAGGAGTCATGAGTCCAAAACAACCCCCAGACAACACACGGGTCTGCTTGGGGCAGTGCCACCCCATCCAACACCAGAGATGACAATTCTTTATGGAGCAAAGAATCCCAAACTCAGAGCCATTCCGTCTTGCAAGGTGCAGTTTCAGCCCGTTGCTCCCCATCCAGGCACTGCAAGAGGGAAGTCACAGCATCACCTAACTCTCCATGGGCTGAGACATACAGCTCAGTGTCATCACCATATTGATGATATCTCAATCCACGGCAGCAGATGATCTTGCCCAGAAGCTTAGCAAGGATGGACACACTACCCCCTGCCCACTCCCACCAGAGAGCACATCAAAAAGCACAACCAGTGCCATTTCCATTTCATGTCTAGGCCTGACTGTAAAGGGTCCAGATAATCCATTTCATCCAGAAACTTCAGGAGCTTCCATGCAACCATCTTCTCAACAACCTCCAGAAAGGAAAGATTAGACACAGGATGGTACCCAATAGAAGGGGGTCTTAAGAAGAGGGCAGACCACAGCCTCCTTAAAAGTCTGGGCCACCACCCCCTCCCACAGAGAAGCATTAATCACCACTAGAACCCAACCACATGTCACCTCCTGGGAAGCTTTCACAACTCAGGAGGGACATGGATCTAAAACACAGGTGCTTGTACCCATACCTTCTAGGATTCTGTCCAGTTCCTCAGGAGCAACAGTAATAGAGCAACAATAAGTGTGTCATGTCCAGAACATAAATGTCAGCTACATGCTCTGCAGCTGGTGTGAATTAAACAACCATAGCCCTTAACTTGGTACTGAGCAAGTTAAAGAGCAGGTTAAAGAAAAACATGGTTTTGGAATTTTTATGAAAAAAATATGAAAGCCCATTAGCCTGCATACGAACCCTAAGCATATTAAAAGGAAACATATTAGCATCCTCTAGGGGTGCCAAACTCAAGGCCCGTGACCTGCATCCAGCCCACAGGATGCTTAAATCTGGCCCATGGGGCTGGCCTGGAAATAGCAAAGGACTGGCCTACGGTGCCTCTGGAAGCCAATATGGGGCACGGGGGCCCTCACGCAGCCCCCGCAAAACGCAGTCCTGTTTTGGCCAGCAATGTGCTGCAGGAGGCCCTGCAGGCCAAGGATGGGGTGCAGGGGGCCCTCACATGTGGCCCCTGCCCCCCATTTTGGCTGGCAAAGTGTTGGTGTGCTACAATGCTGATCCGGCCTTTGAAGAAATTCAGTTTGATACCCTTGCTCTGGAATGAACTATAACACTCAGCCAGCTGATATCAGGTGGAGATTTTGGAGATTGTAGTTGAAATAGCTTTGGGACAAATGTTCCCCACTTCCACTATTTTTTTTCATGTACATGACATTTCTTGCATTGTTAAAAACAGTCAGTGTGATATACAGGTTAAAATGTTGAACTTGGATTGGCAAGAATCGGGTTTGAATTGCCACACCATATGTTCTTTGGTGTTTTTGGATGTCCTATTTTCATCACAGCCAGCCTCACAAAGTTCTCGCTATGGCTCTCTTAATGCCAAAAACAGTATTCCTAGCTAAGAATCCTGGCGACTTTAAGGCAGTGTCTAGGACTAGACTAGGGAAGGCTGGGCTAAGGAGTATTTGCCCTTTGATAAAGAATGGATCCTCTTCTGTTGTCATCCCTGTTTTTGAGAGCAGCGGTCCCCAACCTTTGCAGCTTGGCAGCCCGGCTTGGGGAAGGTAGAGGAGAATTGGGTTGGCATGCACATGCAGCCCTTGTGCGAGTGGCGTCGCAGCACGTGCATGCATGCAGTTCTTGTGCAAGTGGGGGGCCAGCCTGAGTGTCCACTGGCCTGCTACGTATGGACGTGAGTGTCCACCGGCCTGCCGCGTATGGACGTGAGTGTCCACCGGCCTGCCGCTTGCAAAAGTTGAGCTATGTGCACACTCCAGCCAGCCACTCACACAGCCCAATGCCAAATATGCCATGACCCAGTAGTGGGCCATGGCCCAGGGGTTGGGGACAGTGGTGGGATGCTACTGGTTTAACAACTGGTTTGCTGAGCTTGCACACAGCGTTCAAAATTCAGCAAGCTGAAGCTCAGCTGCTTACCTTCTAAGGCAGCCCCGGTAAGTAGAACAGCGGAGGTGTGGAAATCAGCTGTGCAGCGTGAATCAGCTAAACCAGAAAGAAGGAAATATAGGACAGGATAGGGTAGGCGGGGCCAGCTGATCGTTGGAACTACCGCTTCTCCCGAACCAGCAGCTGCCCACCACTGGTTGGGGACCCTTTTTAGAGTTCTTTTTTAAAAATACATTTTATAATATTATTCTATGTATTGACCTATAGATTATTAGATTGATCTAATGATAGTGACTTTTAAGGATAGAGGAAAAAAAGAGATCCATGTCAGTGTTAACTATTATTTGAAATTATTTCAATAAGCATAAGGTTGTTTAAATTTTACATCCAAAGCTAAGAGCATTAGTAAACCGCTGCAAATTACATCAAAATATTTATGTCTTAAGCTGAACGCTTAATCCACTATATTGTTACTTATTGTTTGTCCGTGTTAAAAAATAATAAACCAAATTAAACAGCAACAAAAAGACAAGAACAAGTTTAAAAAGAAAAGGAACAAAAGGCTATTTGGTTTCTGATTCTCTCCTTTTGGGGCATCTACTAATTTGTGGTGTTTCTAAATATTTAGGCTCTCTTAGGACACAAACTAGTTGCTACACATAATTTTTAATCATTTGTTTTACTTTTTAGGTAGTTATCCCACCTTTATTATTTTTACAAGGTGGCGAACATAATACTCTTTCTTCCTTTTATTCTCTCTCACACACACAACCATCCTATGAAGTGAGTTGGGCTAAGAGAGTGATTGGCCCAAAGCCACCCAGCTGCTTTCAATCCTAAAGTGGGACTAGTATTTAGACCAGCACGTTAACAACTATTCTTGCTTAAATTCTGTTGTGAATATATAGTGTTAATTTTGCCATTGCTGTATTCCTGCTTTTGATCACTGCCTTCTACTTCAACTTGTTTTCTAAGGCTCAATACAATTTTAACTACAGAGGCTGAGCAGGTCTTGGTTTGATACAAAGCGATTGGAAGACAGCATCTGATCTATATTGATCTGCACTCAGAAACTGAATAGTTTTAAGATGCAGCTCAGAAGAATGGTTCCTCCATTCTACTGTCCACAGTCAAAGCTGAGCCACCAGTTTTTCCCATGTGACTTTGGAGCAGTTTTTTGTGTGTTTTTTTTTTAAAAAGTCCGATTCTCCCTCTGCAAATGAAATGGCAATTTGGCAAAAGGAGTGCTGAGTCCTTGCCTCAACCTCTTCTATTTTATTTGGCCCCCAAAAGACAGAGATAAAAATGAACATAATTAGAACAGTTATACTCTTGCCAGAAGGGAGGGTTGCACTGGGATGCATTTCGAAGGCCTGTTTGAAGTATTTGAGTTGAACCCTAGAGGGCACTGAAGGACATCAGACAAAACTGAGTAATTTGACTGTTAAACAGAGTGCGAGTTTGTATTTCTTTTTTAAACCCATCCTGGATTACCATGGGGTGTGGCACCCTTAAGAAATCAGCTTGCATTGGCCAGCAGAGGAAAAGCAGAGACTAGTAAAAGCAGGCCTTTGAGTCTGGGGTTTGTACATGACAGATTGCTGATGGCAGCAAGATGCAGGGCAGCTGAATGCATATTTGATGAGAGAGCGCATTCCAGGGAAGAATAGCATACAAGATAAAGATGGGACATGACCCGCTGTCTAAGATAAGGGTGCCAGAGGAGCTGTGGAATGTATCATCCCCTTCTGACATTTTTATAAATTCCTTCAAATCATTCTTTGCACGCATAAAGGACTGGCTTACAGTTTGGGGTGGGGGTTTTCAAACTTTGGTTTTCAAACTTTCCCAAATTACACTCTGTGGCATCAGCTTATTCAGAGCTCCTTGGACAATTCTCTTACTGTTTGTGTCATTGATAATTAGACATTGATATTGACAGACCAATAATATTTGGGGTTTGCAAGAGAGAGGGAGAAAAACATTATTTGGCTGTGTTGTATGGCTATTTAGCATTGTGCTGCAGAAGTGCAGAAATTTAAAAACAACAAATCCGTTCATGCATGCATGAATTCGTATTTGGAGCTAAATGTTTTTTTGCTAGCTGTTGTGGCTGGTGTGTTTGACTAGCTGAGGACAAGAATAGAACAGGATAGGACAGGCCTCAGTGCTCTGATCTTCCCTGTGAGAAGCAGAACTGTGCAAATAAGGTTAGTGTCTGATTTCACACTCTTGGTTTTAAAGTTGATACTGTTTTCATGCTTCTGAAGACCTGCCTAGATTCATTTTCTCCTGACTCTTTTGTGTACATCATTAAAACGAGCTACGCATAAATGGTTCTCCAAAATTGTCTTTAAAAAAATGGGCAGAAAAAATTGGATGGACTCTGGACTTTTCCAGGGCAAAGATAAATTCTCAGAGGATTACTCAAGATATGACTCCCCCTTTGTGGTGATAGCACAATTTCTGAAAATGCAGTGGGAGGAAGTTCCGGCATGATGTTTTCCCTTGAGATTGCATTGAAGTGTGGGAAGCCAGGATAGTTGTAAATCACCAGAGAGATGGTTGTACAATGAAAGACAAGATATTATACACATGTCCCTTAGTTACTTTTTAAGCTGAATCAATGAAAGAACGCCATATTGCATCTATGAGTATTTCTTCAAAACTTCCTTTTTAAAGAATTTCCAAGCCAAATTCTTTTTCATCAGATTGTATAAAAACACATGAGACAAATATAGAGGGAAATATCTCTGTTTGGTACAAGATAAAACCACTGTCAGGGAAAAGTGAAGAAAAATTACTTAGTATGGTAGCAGTATTTTCAGAATTGTTGCTATATATAACAGTATTAGTTGCTGAATCAAAAATGGCAATTTTGGTCCAGAAATAGCCAAGGAGTGAAGAAGGAGCTGCTTAAAAGCTTATTTAATCATAACTGTCACAGATTATCTTCCTTAGCCTTTATCCATTCAATAAGCTCTGTAACACTCTGTACTTGGGATGCCAAGACTTGTGATAAAATTCAGAAGTAACAGGCAAGCATGTTTCTCTACACCTACACATACCATATCACAAAAGCAGGCTACCTCATCATCTCTTTTGAAGAGCTTCATTTCAAAGAGTGATGATGTCCCTTTAGACTGAAAGTTTTAGCTTTCTCATCTTTAAATCTTTAATAGTTTTAAATCCTATTCATTCCAGTTGTGGAAAAGCTATGTATTTTTAAAATTAGTCAGCTTTACTACTCTGAAAAATACATCATTTTTTACTTGAAGATCTCTTTGTACTTAGTAAATAACATAAAATTGATTTAAAATTGATTTGATAATCGAAAATAGGTTTCCTGGTCCTCTGGCCTTTTCAGGTATATTGTGCTGCAACTTTCAGCCTGTGCCAGGTGACCACAAATCTGGATAGCACCAATTTAGGGAAAAGTTGGTGGTTAGACTGACCAAACTGGGATGGATTTACTAATATCTCCGAGTTAGAATATTTTTATTCCTGTATGTAGAAGTCTTGACATAAAGACATTTTCTAAAATGAAGTTCAATACTGCTAAATTTTCAGGAAACTTTCTAACAGGAAGAATTAATCATTCACCTTTCAATATATCCTTTGTTTTAATGTTTGCTTTGCCTCTCGAAATTATGTTCACAGGTCAGTGGAGCTTAGCTATTATTGTGCTTATTGCTTTTCTTTTGTGCTCTTGTTCTTAGGTGTCAGCTGTACCCACTGTCTTAGCCATGAAGAATGGTGATGTGGTGGATAAGTTTGTGGGAATCAAAGATGAAGATCAATTAGAAGCTTTTCTCAAAAAACTCATTGGACCCTGAGCAGCAAGGACAGTTGTTTTCTCTGAGCCAAGGCTTTCTCCATTTGTCCTTTTTAAAATATATATATATATATACACATGTTTCCTTAGGGGGGAATGGGAGAAATTGCATGGTTGGACTAGCATCTGTTTTTTGAAGAGAGCAGATGATACCTACTTCCCCCTTCTTCTGGGGGAGTGGTGCTAATAGTTCCTACTGCGGTGGAAAGGCTGATTGCTCTGTGATAGAGAAAGACTTGAGATTGCTGCCTGCTAGCAGATGCCCAATGAGAAGAAAGTCTTCATAAAAAGCAGCCTCTTCTTAATGTACTTTCTCATACATATTGGAGACACTTCCCGTTCCTGTCCAGTGTAAAACCCAATGTGGTTAATTATTGCTGCTTATGGCAGCAGTTGTTCTGCTTCATCTCTGCAGCTTTCCTCCTTTGTTTAGTGATAGATTAAAATCATTTGCAGTTTTTGACGGTAGCCTCAGTGCCTCTCCTGCTGTCATCAATTAAATTGAGAGAAACATTGATTGATTGATTGGAGCCTTTTTATTAGTAGATCTATAATAAAAAATAGCTGTAATTATTCCATTTTCTTTTGGTATAGAATTCCCCTCCTGCAGGAAAATTAAAATTGTTCAGTATAGCTTGAGTAGTATATGGTTGAATACAGAATATGAATAAGGAAGAGTTTGGCATTAAAACTTTGCTAGTCAACAGACACAAGGCCTTTTGTGAGAAGAAACTGTCCCCTCTTTTTTGCCTAAGCATTTTATCTCCAAACATATTGAGGGAAATCAGTGCATTAGAAGTGCTTTTTTAAAAGAACCAATGAAATACTTTTTCATGCCACTTTCCACTCATATTTGAATCTATTCTCTATAAATGATAAATCAAGTCAAATTTTAAATTTCACAATGTTTTAATTTCAGGCCAGATGTCCAATTTATTTAGATTTTGCTATGGATTTTTCCATTTTCATAAATCTATGGGGAAAAAACCCTGCTAGATTGTAACATTAAAGGAATTTGTTAGGCTTCCTTTATTGATTATAAGGAAGCTGAGCAGAAAGAGTCATTTTCTCTTCTTTAACAAATAAAGTACCTGATAGAAAGGCAGCATCTCTGTGAAGCGTCTTTGTTCTGCACAAATGTACAGACTTTGCATTTTAAATATTAAAGAAATTAAAAGAACAAAAATCCAGCCACTTGATGCATCTAATAAATTCAGTTATATCCTTATTGCCTCTATGGACTTTTAAACCATACATCAAAACTTCACAGAATCCGAAGTACCATGGATCTACTGAAAGTGAAATGCTTCAGTTTGTTTCTGTGTCATCTGAGATGGATTATTTTTTTAACACCCCCTCCTTTTACTCAGCAATAGAACATGGTTAGAAATATTTTAGTATCGGTCACAGAAACATGAGAATGGTCAGAGGTTGCCTTCACACATTACTACAGAGCAGTGTTTTCAACCATAGCAACTTTAAGATGTCTCAAGTCCAATTCCCAAAATTCCCCAGCCACCATGCTGAGAGATTCTGAGAGTCCAAAGATCTTAAATTTACTAAGCTTGAGAAATATTGCTATAAAGGACAGTGTAATTTGTTTGGCTTAGGCTAGTGTGTAGTTTGAAACCAGCCTTATGAAAATGGGTGGGTGACCAATGGCTTACTGTGCTCTTCAAACCCAGCCAGTAGTTTATTTAGCAAATCATGGCAGAGTGTGATAGGTCAACCATATCAGTAATTAAGGAATTTATGAAGACTTTTAACATTGTCCTTTTTGTTGATAGTTGTCCTAGATTAGATGGACATAATGTTTTAAATAGTCTCAAAATGGAAACAGATTTTGCTCTATTTCTGCCTTGTACTGTTACATATTTCCTATAATAATAAGGATATTAGTCTGTGCCAGGATAATGCATAAAAATGACTCCTATTGGAGAACAGGATGTTCTGTGAGCTTGTCATCCAATAAAGCTATTCTAAATCTTTATTTCAGAAGTTCAGTAAATTTTTGGGGAGTTCTAATCTGGAATTAGCTTGCTTTATCATCTTGGCCTTCAGGTCATAGCTGATGTTCTTAGTGCATCGACAGAGATGAAATAGGTTAATTTTAAATCAGGACAACTAACAAAAGGCCCCAAAGTTTCATGCAGTCCCATTGATCTATTTAATAACCCCAGAACTGTATTTCTGAAAATGCCAGCATGTTTTCTACTATTTTCAAGTGGGAAATATGGAAATGCTATACTCTTGTTTGTAAAGTTAGTACAATTAACCAAAGCTCATGTCAGCTATTGTGACTTTATGAGATTTTTGGAAGTACCAATAAACGTCCAAAAAGGTACAGGATAAACTTGTGAATGTAGTCTAATATAGTTTATTAACTGTCCACGTTTTTCCATCTTGAAAAGTTCTCAGAACAGTTTGTAAACTAATTTTTTTAAAAGGCACTCCCTGCTGTGAAACCTGCCTTCTAAAAAAAATTGCACAAAGTTTCAGCTAAGTTTTACAACAAAAGAGAAGGACTTTCAACTCTGTTTTACAAAATCCTACATTAAGCTTATGTTTATAACAGGGTAATTTAAGCTTTTAGGCTGTAAATGGCTCCAAGCTTTAGACTAGAATGGCTGTTTTTGTTTTCACCTAAAATTGAATGTAATTCCTCTCAGCTACTTTTCTGTTCCCGTTTATTATTTCCTCATATCCTTGCCTATTGAGTGAGTGTGTCTAATTCGCTAGCCAATAAGTTAATCAACAGTAAACAACAACCCAATCAAGACGCCACCAAGAATACTCCCACCAAAACTGACAGAGCAAACCAGTTGTATATAAACAGAGAGAAAATCCTACTTCCTTCTAGCCCTGATGATATTACCTAGTTGGGTAATAAAAAACACCTGCAAGAAAACAACCCAGCTCAGAGAGCATGAAGCCATCTTTTTGTAAAGGCACATCACTTAGAAGGGGTGTCAAATTCGTGTCGTCATGGCGTTGTCATGTGACATATTGTTACACTTTTCTCCTTCCCTAAACTGGGCGTGGTGGTGGCCAATACGTGACACACCCAGCCCACGGGCTGCAAATTTGACAGCCCTGACTTAAAACATTGTTTCTCAACCTCTGCAACTTTTAAGATGCGTGAACTCTTTAATTCCCACAATTCTCCATGCTGGCTGGGGAATTCTGGGAGTTGGAGTACACATATCTTATAGTTGCTGAAGTTGAAAAACCACTGACTTGGAGCCTGAAAAATTAAATTGAATGCTTTGCTGTGCTTAGATCCATTCAGTTACAGCTGTCACTCTGAAGTCCTTGGTGCTCTCTGACTTGGTTTTTTGTAGCTTGTTTCACTACCTGGCTAGGTAACATCTTCAGTGCTAGAAGGGAGTAGGGTTTGCTCTCTGTTTATATACAGTAGCTTGCTCTGTCAGTATTGGTTTGATTGTTATATATTACAGGCATATATAGATAAACAGTATTTGCACACCATTGAAAAGAGGATAAAAAAGCTAAAAAGGAAATAAAAAGACCAGAAAGCTGCCTCAACAGCAATCAACATCCAGATAAATGGATTAACACCAGACAATAAGCAAGCAGTAAACAAGCTACAAACTCAACAACTCAATGTTTCTCAACCTTAGCAACTTAAGGTTAAGAAACACTGCCTCAATTTAAGTAAACATACTGTGTTGACTTCAATTTTAATACAGGAAGAATAATGTAGTTAGTAGCCATTAGGAAAATTAAGAATGCTCCTTGCTCTTTTAAACTCTGTCAAGGGATCTTTAATACCAATACAATTATTTTGTTTACAATTTTATTAAGCTGCTTCTAGATTAAAACTAATGGAAACAGAGGGAACTCAGTAGCACCCCCCAGAAGAAATATAACAAAATAGCACTGGTTGTACAGTGAAATACTGACTTCAGCACCTCCTAAGGCTGGCTCTTGAAACATTTTACATTGCTGCTTGGATCTGCACTTTCAAGAAACCCTTAAAAGCTTAATATTGTATGTGGAAAGAAGGCACACAAATCTAGTTCTAATGAACAAATTCAGGGGGGGAAAGAAATGTAAAAACAAATGCTGGAATAGTGTGACAGTCACCAATAGAAGAGGACGTATGTAGCTCGGTGTTGAATTGTGGAGTCCTTAGTGCTCTCTGAGCTTGGTCATTTGCTTGCAAATGTTTCACTACCCAATTAGGGAACATGCATGCTAGCAAGTGTGGCAGGAGGCATACATAGTTTAAAAGAGCAAGGAGTTTTTAATTGACGCTTACTTCATTTTCTTCCCCATGGCTACTAACTACATTATTCTTCCTGTATTAAAATGGAAGCCAACACTGTTTACTTAAATTTAGGTAGTATTTCTCAGTCTTAAATTGCCACAGTTAAGAAACACTGAATTGAAGGGCTTAGTTCACAGGTCACAATGCAGAGGGCAGGCAATCTGCAGGCACTGAGATGCTGCACGGATTTTGGGGCCAGCCTTACTCATTACAGGTTTTCAGGCCTCCAAGTGATGACTTCCGTGTGAATGTGACTCAAGTTGGAAAACATATTCCCCATCAAAGTTTTAATGTATCCACAGTCCCTTTTGTAAGGATTGTTGTTTTGCCCTCAGGAGGGAAGTGTAAATGATTGAATTACGACTGGAGAAAGCCCACCTGCAACCTCTTTCTCACCTGTTAACACTTTAAGGAAATAAGTATGTTTTCCACTTTGCAATCTGGCAACATGACTCTGATTGCACAGTTTCAAACTTTGGGACATTTTCATAAAAAAAGGAAATGGTGGTCTGGAGAGTTGGGTAATATGCTTGAAGGTCCATAAAGAAATATGAAGACACATGTAAGTTCCTTTATTATCTTTATTTCCCTCTTTGACTGCAGAGTTTTCAGCACACTATCAATCTATTCCCTAAATTAATGAGGAATAGAAACTTAGATTCCTTGGCTAAATAGTGCATTCCATACTTGTTCACTGCAAAGTTGGATCAGGCCCATTTCCTGCCTGCAGCAAAGAGAAGTATTGTCAGTAATGTGCAGGAAAAAGCTGGGAGGAAGAACAGGCCTGCTATGTTTCTACAGCAGCTAAGTTTTGTGCCATGCCATAAACACAGAACAGGAAAAAACAGCTGTAGGCACTATGACTTTGCATTGTGTATTTAAAAGTCTGCATAAATTGGCTCTTTTATCATTTCCTTCCAAGACTCTGGGGCTTGGGTGGTATTGTGCATTATCAGGACAAATCGGAGATTTACTGGCAAAACTTATTGTGAGCATCATTTACAGCAGCCACCGTTGCATGTACTTTTCAGATGAGATTGGAATGCCTGACTTTTCATATTTTCAAACATTAGCAAATGCCCTTGAACACTCAACTTGTAAATGCTTTTGGAACAATTAATATTAAAAAAGAAATTTCACTTGTGTAAAAAGGAATTGCTATGGTCCCAACTTTATTACTGCTGCTCAGAGAAAGAACATATTCATATTCTTTAGTCTTGACAGAGAAAAAAAACCAGATTTGATACTTGGCTTTATTGCTATGCATTTTCTGTAGAAGGTCTTACAAAATAATGTTTCTCAACTTGGGTTGCTCTTGCTTTCTTATTGCGTTATTTCCTTGTGTATGTATTCTAGCATAAACAATATTCAGTAATTTCTGTTCACAGTGAATTCTGATGGGGGGCACCAACAGAATTAGCATCCAAACTGAACTGTGGAGAAATCAGAGAGCTTTTGCAGTAAATTTATGACCATTTTCTTCCTTGACTCAATTTTGCAGTGGTTTTAAAGGGAAAAATATCTCAGTGGCACTTGAGCCTGCTCAGTAGGCCCCAAATGTTGAACATTTGATCATTCTGAAAAGAGAAATGTTAGGGGGTGAGATGACATTTCCTCTCATCAGCTCCAAAATTCTGGAATAAAAAGTAAGAAAACAGTCCTTTATTTTACTTTCTGTCCCATTTCTTTTCCTTTAGTGACAAACTCAGTTTGGAAGCGTAGCAAGGCCATTCAAACATGATACAGTTCACAAGTTTCTAAATGACAAGAGAAAGACATAAATTCCAATTTTCTGATATGAACTGTTGAATGTGTAATGTTGTTAGAAATGTAGATGAGTGCAGAAATGAAAACTACAGCTGACTTGGCTACCAAGGATTAATTCGGTTATCTGGATTTCTCAGATCTGAAGAACAGATCCAAACATACATAAAGCTTTCAAAACAATTATGTTTTGAAAACAGCTGCTCTCTGGAATTTCAGTGCTGCTGGGATGGGCATTCCAGCTAATCAACAATCCTTGAGAGGCAGGAAGTGCAAAATCTGCAGCTTCTGGCAAGGTTGTTACACTTCATCTCTCAGAGTAACTCCTGGACTAAAGGCAGAATAATTGGGCAGGAGGTTCAGTGATTCCTCCCATGGGGGCTTACTACCAGGAACCATGGCTATAATAACTGCAATCTCATTATGGCAAAACTTGACAGGATACCCTAAAACCCAGCTACCTTAATATAGTCTAATGTAGGTAAACAGACAAGATCCCAAGCTAGGTGCAAGAGATGAGCAGGCTGAGTTTGAGGGCAGGGTTAAATGTATCATAAGTTTGGAGTCACTGGCAGCCACAAAAAACCCAAGTCCAGCCCCCTGTGAATTATGTTGACCTTTATGTAGCACCAATTTGGCTTAACTGTTAGTAGGCCAGATTCCTGTGCATAGGTAGCACAAAATAAACTTTTAGTGATTTGAACTCAACTTCCATTCCTGGTTATTTGCCCCTTGACTGGTAATTGGTCTTGATACTGTAAGGCAATCACCGTGTCTGGCCTGAGGAAGAAGCTGATAAAATAGAGGAACTTCAAAGGATGAATACAGAACGTGAATATTGAGTTGAAGTCCGCCAGGCTTAAAGTTGCCAAGGTTGGAGACCCCTGTTATATAAAACATACTGAGGAGAGTTCCATAATAAAGTGGGAAGAAAG